TACAACAATGTATGTAGTATGTGTAATTGTTTTAAAAGTGCAATGATGATATATTGTATCATTTAAAATGAAGACTCGAACTGTCAACGACCTTCTGCATCATTCTATAGAATACGATTTGACCAGAATAGCGCTGATTTAGATCTAGGAAGCGCGCAGAACTTAGCTCCATATCTAATCCTTTAATTGCTTAGTTGATTAAATATGGAGCTAACTTGCTCACCTACGCTGTACAGGCTAAGTTAACAAAAAAAGGGCGATGAATTACACTAACCGAACGGAGGTGACAACTCAAAGCGCATATGTATATATATTTGTGTTCTTTTTGTGGTTACCTGTGTTGTTGCAGGAAGCAAAATGTCTAACAAGGGCCAAGCGAATCCGTATTTTATCAGTTACTTAAATTGAGAACGCAGTTGAAGACTGGCGAACAGGTGTTCAAACGTTATCTATATAGATTTATGCATAGAGTTTGGCAGAAGCTGTGTTCAGGATTGGAGGCAATACGCCTTGTTCATTTTGGCTAGTCCGCTGTGTGTTGAAATCGATATAAACTATTCCAAGCCCAACAATACACGGGACGATTGAAATATAGTTTCTCTTCGTCTCATTGTCTTGTGCTTGATCTAGATAATTTCTGCCTTAGCAAGCTAGCTAGTTGAATTCGCTCAGTATAAATCGTGCCAATCAGTTTATTATTGTTACTACTCGTTAATTAAATAACGAACCTGCATAGTGAAATATACTACTGAGAAAAAAAATTGTCAGTGGCTAAAATAACTATTATTTTCGCCATCAAGAGGCTATTGATAACACCCAAGTAGCAGCTACATTTTAGAATATGTAACAGGCTTTGGTACGCTGAATGATGTCTTTATCAACACCAGCGCCTAATCTGGGCCTAAATGTTAAGCTCACCTCTTACCTACTCCGGAGTGAGAATCGTTCGAATCTGTTGCGGTTAGCGGTCCCCGCTCAGTATCCTCAGCCTTACGTTGACTGCTGGTTTTACGACCTTGGTTCGTGGCCGTACTCCATGCGCTGCTGCATGGTTACTCATCGTCGTTTGCGTAGTCGGCTGGCGTAGTGACTTTGTCGCCGATCTACATGTCAGCCCCAACTGGTCCATATTGATGTGAGCGACATGGACGGCTGGTTTACCGCTGACATTGAGAATGGAAAGCCTATCCGTTTATAATTGATACTGAAACCGCAGAGTCAGAATCGTCTTCTTTCTCTTTCTCGCCGTCTCGTTCATATAACAAGGTCGACTTCTCGTGAATCCACTCTCGTACACGCATTTATATGTGAGGGTAAATAAAATGTGTGACCAATTGCGCAGGGTAAGCGCCGGGGTCTTCCCCGGGCCGGTCCTATAGCATAGACGCACGACGAAACCAGTACAGGCGCTCCTTCGCAGGCCCTTGATTAAACTTTCCTAGACGCAACCACGTAGCCGATACATGGTTATTCTGTGGAAGTGTCACTGCTGGGCCCAGACAGTGCCGTTAATTTGTATACAGACGTGGCAGATTTTCGAATTTTTCTTTGTAGTCACAAGGTAACGGAAACGTGATGTATGGAACGTTTTGAAAAGAAACCAGTATTAGAAATGTTTCACAGTTGGCGTAGTAAATCGAAGTAATTAGTTAATATATTGGTACATATATAATCAAGGTATCGTTATAACGCGCTGTTGGCGGTATCGTGCTTGGATGCGCTGTTAGTTTGTGTGGGAAAACTCTAGGATAGTAATGATACGAGGGGTGCATTTTCCGATTGGTTCAAATAGAAAATTTCTCTATTTAAAATAAGCTTGCTTGAACTGTGAACCAGATCTTGTTTTCCTTATTGGGACTGATCAAAAATTACCTGCAAGTATGATACACAATGAGCCGTAAAATGAGCCACGCGTACGAAATACGTCCTAAATCGATTCGGTATCGACCGACTGAAGGGACTGGCGCGCAAGAGTAGTTTGAATTACAACTCAGCATCTTCATCTATAAAGTCGATGGTATGTTTGCTTTTAGGTTTCGGGGGTACACTGAGCTATCGGCGGACACTTACATACGGAAATTTCGAGCTTACATGTATAATACGTTCGAACTCGTTTAGTGTTACCGACTTTAAACAGGTTGCGAGAAACATGTAGCAACACCGCAACGGGGTACGAAAAAAAGAACGATTATACCTTTAGTTCAGCCTGTTTCCACTGAAGCTCTTCCCTTCGTCTGCACCATGAATTTGATCAACAAACATAAACCGCATACGAGAATTCATTGTATTGCTTACGTAGCAAAATAAAGGAGAAAACCATGAAAATCTTGCATAGACGACAATAGCATAACCACTAATGGGTGCCGCCTTGGAAAAAGAAGAAAGCCGTCGTCACGTGCAATTGTGTTATAACTTGAGGTGCACATAGACTTCTCTACATATTGGTTCATAGATATCATGTGGTCAGTGTCGAATCAATACACACTAGATGCGGCGCTATGCTATTTCTCTAGAAGCAGAAACGCCGTTGCCAGCGTTATTGTTTCATTTGACAGTTCGCTTATCTCGGGCCTGACCAGGTGCGACCAGTGCATCGATCCTGCGCCTTATAATTTAAGTTACATTAGACCACACATGTTGATAACTGTGCAGTGCCTACACGCGCGGAAATTTTTATTTTTTAGCACAGATCGATCGTGTCTGCCATAGCAGCAGTAATATTATGGAGTTTGTTGTATCTGAAACGCTCTGGGTCTGAACACTCGGTACTGTGCGATGCACAGCGACACTTCTGTGCTTGCTCGGCCTTGCGTTTGTGTCTGAGCGTACGGATGAATACGACGACAGATCGAGGGATCGTGACGAATCTCGGGATAGAGATCGCGACGCGTCCAGGGACAGAAGTCGGTCACCTCGAAGCCGGGAGAGGGATCACGGCTCTGAAGAGCGCAACGGAAGTGGTCATCATTCTTCAGAGGGATCTCGCGATGGACGAGATGACTGAGAAATGTCGATCCACTTTTTACCTAAGAAAGAAGAGCAAGGGGGCAGAAATCGCTTTATTTTAGCGATGTCGATACCACACAATCACGTACAGAAGGAAGCCCATACACACGTACACGATCATGTTGTCATGGAAACCCAGAAGTTTGATTAGAGATAGTTATATCGGTTGGAGGAATCGATGATAGGAAAGAAGATAGGGTGAGGAAGAAAAAGAATCGAAGTAAGTTTCTTTATACGAGCAGTTGAGGACTGATCGGTTGTTCGAGATATTTTGTATTAATGTCAAAACGGGTGACGACAGACGTCGAGACGCGAGACGCAGTCAATGGTAAGTAAGCTCTAAATATTATTGGGTCAAATATATCCAAGAAATTATGGGTGACCTCGGTGACAGATTGACTGGCTAATCCCGAAAGCTTTTAAAGGTCTCTCTCTCTGTTGGCACCCTCTAGGTATTACATTTTAGGTAGTTGCGTACTGTATGGGTAGACTTTTTGTATCGTGGTTGAACATAAGCACATCTACGGTGCCATTTCCAAGGTATGACCGTTTCTAACCTGTTAATCCCAAGCATTTGTTTAACTACACAACGTGCACAGAAATGGGAGTTTTCTGCTTTTTATCCTAAAAGTGAAAAATATTGCGTTATATCTGTCTACTCTTGGACATATACAGGGTGATCAAACAGCTGTTATACTGTAATTGGAGACGGCGAATGGACCTGCAAGTGAGCATCAGTGAAATGCTGTAAAACCAGCTGTAAGACTTTGTTTATGACGTATACAGCCATCTGACCACCCTGTACGGTGACTCGCTGGTTATAGTTTAAGTCTATCACATATATACATGCATATATATATATATATATATACATATATAACATAATCGATTTTATTGCGAAACAGAAGGACCATTGCCCGAATCAAATGCACTATGTATTGTTATCATTATTGTCGATTTTAAGGAGCGTGGCATTAAGTCGCAATGCTGCTCTATATTGTAGGAATGACTGCTGCAGCTGTCCGTGGTGTTGAAGCGGCGGCGGTCGTCTGGCGTGTGTTGGCGTCGTGCGCTGCATGCTGCTGAATGGTGGTTGCTGGTGATGAAATAGTACCAACAGCTGAACAGTCGTAGCAGATTGTAGCAGAATTGCAGGCGATGGAAACCAGCAACCCACCTAACTTGAGGGCGTTTGCTGACGTGTGTGTACCTGAGGGCCAGCACAGCTGAGCTGATTACAAAACAGGGAAAAAGAAAGAAAGCGAGAGAAAGAGGACCCGCAGGGGCTATCTTTTTGAACCACAGGAGAACCATGCCTGCTGGGAAGTGACGCGCTTCCACTAGATGCTGCGCGTAAAACTGTGCGGGTCGACAGCGATGGAGTGTCACGATAGGAGTGGAGGAGCCGAGTGAGGTGCTGAAACTGTCGCTGCTTCGTTTTCGAGCTCCTGCTCACCGTTGCTGCTTTGATTACGAGCCTCATCGAGCTTGCTGAAATCTGTCCGACGACACTTGTCGCGTTGGCGTGTCCAGATGAAATCCGAATACTGGCAGCCTGCAACATCCGACCGGGTCTAGCGGATAACAGCAGCAAAAGGTGGTTGTTTCAGGCAGGGCGTATCTGGATTCACGCTTCGTTGAGGGGAGGCCGTCATCCAAAGGTCTTGCGCGGTAGTCCGGTCAACGCGTTTCGAGTTGTTGCTCTGTTTTTGGGACCGATTAGGTTCTAGGAGAAGAATGCTTCTTTGTGGGGTTGGTTTTGTGTGGGCTTGGCAGGTACGAAGAGAAGTGTATATCCAGAGCTACTGCGGCAGAGAAGACGGTTCGATGTTTCTGGACAGAAAGCAGTTGGAAGCTGGTGCGGCGAGGCGCCAATTTGTCTCGATCTTGCGGTGGCGTGGTGAAGATGACGGAGACGGCGTGATCGGGTTCGTGCTGGTGAGGGCAGTTCTTCGGTTGGGGGAACCTGTTGCTGCTGCTGCTGCTGTTAAAGTTGGGCGTCGCTGCAGTTCCTGCTCTTGCCGTCTACGACGGTGACGCAGAGATTCTATGCGGATCGCAGATCCTACTACGCGTGGCTTGCTGCCGTTGGTACAACTGTATTATAGCGGAGTTACGATGGTGTGACCTTAATGGAGTTAATGGCACACCAGGTGCCACTAACCAGTGCGATTGGGTGCGAATTCAACTTAGCTGCGGCTTCGGGCGAGCTTACGCCGTCGAACGAGTCTCGCGCCAGTTTCCTGATAATCGCATTACGCACTACTGTGCCGGCACTTCTGTGTTTGAACAGTGTGTGCTCTTTAGTCTAGCAAAATTATCATAACAAAAAATCGTGTTAGAAAACGATTTTCAGAGGGCATTTTTTTCTAGCTTTATTTGTTGATGTGTTTTTCTTCTATGATAAAAAGTAGAGGTATCGCGATGCTGTCCTTTAATATGAATGCACGCAACTATTTAGCATTTTCATAGACGCTCAAAGTAACCATGTAGAGAAAAAAAGCACAGGCAAGGAGCTCTGTGTTTTGCAGACGACTTTTACTTATGGCTAGTGATTTTTTCTTCTTAAAAGGAAGTCTTGGTTTTTCGCTCGTAAGAAGTATGAACTTCGCAGGTCGTGACAATTAACCGCTATTCGTAACAAAACTAGCTTACTGGCCTGTGTTTAGCAGGCGAACACCAGATTCATTCGTTTCTAAGTTTTGAAATTTTTACAGGTTCCGCGGCGTGACCATTATATGCATCATTTATTGTATTTACATTGAAGAATGGAAGAGACTCGTCGAAAGGTAAAAATCAAGACTATAATTAGCGGGAACTTATTATAAATAGATGTCGCACGAAAAATCCGAAGTGTAAAATAGACCACATGTACCAATAGTCATATTATAATAATAAATCATATTTATGAAAGAGCTACGTGTGTTTATTCAAGAAAGGGGGGAATTCAGTGGATAAACGCGAAGATGAAGCATCTGTGAACATCTGATTCAGCTTATATAGAATCAAAAAAACAAAATTATTTTTAATAATAGACTTGGGATTATGAACCTCGAAATTAATAGCTTATCTTATATATCCTTATATCCTTGGCATCTGTGGAATACAGTTGGGTTAGTAATAACAGGGCAATAATAATCGTGCTAGAAGGGGAGACAGAAGCTCTGTAAGGTAAGCAGGATTAAGTTACTTTTTAACCTTGCCATAGTCTTTTCAGTGATCCATACTGGGTATATACAGTTCAGTAAAATTTCAGTTAAAATGAGAAAATGTCGTGTATTGTAAAAATTCGGTAGACGAGTTGCTTCTGATGCACCAGCGGTACGTAAAGAACGTTAGTGTGCTGGTATTTCAAGCCAACAAAAAAATCAGTATTAAGCGAGTATGACGCATCTCGTTAGAGGTCTTCTAAAATGCGAGTCGAGTAAAGTTAGCTCATGATAATATAAACTACGAAGGGTAGACTAAAATACTGTTTCTTTACTTAGTCATACATGTGATGTTATTAACGGGGCTTGGCCAGCAACCCGTGGCTATGAAATGCTACTGGATACAACTAAGTTGTATCCAGTAGTAAATACGCTTGGATTAAAAATCCAAACGTATTTACTACAAAATGATTGCCTAGTATTTGATTATGTAGTAAGTAAACCTACTTTCTTTACTGGCTGTACCTGAGATAGTGCGGTATCGACGAGTGTCGTGCAAATAAAGTGTATGCACGAAGTGATCGAAACTTACGTAACTACGGCTACTTCACACGTCCATCAAGGCCCCGACAAAACTCTAGTGACAAATATCGCGCTAAAATTCGTACTCCGTGTAACCTCTGGTCTTTGACGAAATAACTTATGCCAACGTTATACAAAAAGGCTATACGAAACACTGGGGCAATGACGAAGGCATAGGCTGAACAGTTGTACTCGATGAGCGCAAAAATGCTGAAACCCTCTTATGACGAAATACACAAAAACATAACGATCTCTCCAGTATCTGGATGATTAACGGATTATTTGACACAAATAGGGCGGCAAACCTTCGCCAGACTAGTTCTTAATTCGATAGATCGGTGAAAGTGACACTAGCAGCTAATTACTGGTATAATAACGCACTCAATACCACATACTGATGCTTTGCTGGTGAGTGCAAACAAAGAATACGCTTCAAAGAGGAATGTAGCCCCAACTGCAGCTCCAGAATGCAGCTGTCTTCAATACGGTTCTCGTAGCACAGCAGTACCAAATTGCGCAAGCGTCTCATTGCAGAAAAGGTCCACCTTGCGATTCATCTTTTTTGTATTATCAGCTATGTCTTTCAGTCCTCGTCTGTCACGAATCATCGCTGGTGAATTGCACAGTTTCTAAAGAGGTAATACATAAAGGAATTATCTCCACTGTTTTCTGGTCGTCCACAGCATATTGCAAGGCTAATATTACGATAGCTGGTGTATGCATGACTGCGAGTATTATGCCTTCCGTGGCCAATTCTTATACGAGATACTGTTGCTCCAGCATGATACATAAAAAGTTTACGGCGCAATTATGTCATGAAGACGGTTCTGTAGCCATATATTATAGAAGTCTACACATAGTTTTGAGTGCTGTCAGTTTTATTGACCAGGGGCGTAACCTTTTAATAAGTGTAAACCTCAGAAAGACCAATGTTGGTAGTCTTGATTGGACTTCGGAAGGTAGTAAGCGCATCCGCATATATTTGTTTAAAGAGCCTCTAGAGTCGAGTTCGTTCTTTCTGATTTGTTTAAATACGCTGTCCTTCCATAAGCAATCTTTTTTTGATTGACTTCACGGACCAGTTACCGCACAATTATCAATGTTGAGCAAAATATCCAGCTTCGATTCCACCTTAACGACAAACGTGAGCACAATGTAAGAATCGCTCTAAAAACTCGAGTCTTTGGTTGTTCCTCACAACATAGCCGATTGCATCATGACTATCATATGTGGGCGCGGAAGTCTAAACAACATCTTGATCGACATGCTATTCGGAAGAAAAGAAAAAAATCACGTAAGAGCCATTATTAGCAGCACGAATTATTGAAAAAGTCAACTCGTGGTATGTACCATTGACTGGGCGACAAAAGGGCAGTACTTCGAATACGAAACAGCGTGTAAACAGTTATAATAAGAGTTTCTTCTTACGCAACCGAATTTAGTTCTAACCGTAAACCGTAAGTATACTTCTGACACTTTTTAATTGTTTAATTGTTCTATTGTTTAAAGCAGTTCATTTACTCTCAATGCAAGTCGCTTAGTTGTAACGTTTGTTCAAACACAGTGCGCATTTTGAAGGACGAAATATTATACTTGCCGTGGTTGAGACTGAATATGAGCTAATGGCCACTCTATTGGACTATCCCAATAAAATGTATATGTAAATATGTATATACAAATCAAGTATGTTGTTGATTAAATGAGTGAACTTTGTTACAGTTTAACACAAAAAAAACATATTTCGTGACACAGATAGTGTTAGATTAAGATCCAATATATTTTTGTTTTGTAGTTTTAACATATATCGTTTTTAATAAAAGTTACGAGTATCGCACGCAAATATTCCTTGTTTTATTTACCGTTACTTTTTATGAAATCTAAATAATTTGTGTGAGGCAATAGAATACGAAACGGCTCATCGTTATTTAAAACCTATGTGAGCTAATATGATGACCTATAATAAGGGTTTGCATACACAAGGGAACAAAATGTCACTTTAAAATTCAAATTCCATCTCTATGTTTGTACTCTCGCTTTGTTTAAGCTTACGGAAATCCCCTTAAATTCAGCTTTATTTTATAAAAGTACGGAGGTTCAAACAGCTTCTATTTACCTATCTCACACTATAATATGATTTACTCAGTGCTATATTTATTCTAGGCATGACGGTAGCCATGCCCTTATAAAAAAAAAACCGAAACCGTTCACAAACATTGTCTTTATCGCATAAAAGCGTTTTACAATCAGTTATGTAAATACGAGACCGTGCAATATCCTCATCGCTTTACGGCACGCGTTTTTTACCTACAGTCAGGTAAACCAAATGTATCGAAATTTACGTCCTGCACCACCGCTAGGCATTGTATTAGAGGGCTAGCACGAAACGAAAGATAGCAGGCAAACAAGTTACGTACTAAGCTGTCACAAACACGTGATGATCTAGGCTTGAATCTGAGCGTGGACACAGTACGTTTCGTTCACTATCTGATGGATTCCCAACTGCGGTACCAAACATAAAATCTCAAAACATTTAGCCAGGTAAGCATAGAAAATTCATTATGGCGTAGACGGCTTGTGATAAAGAATGATTATTATAAATATTAGCGCGAGGATGATGCCACGCACAACCAGCTAACGTAATACTTTGAAAAATCCAAGCTTTGCGTCAAAAACGCCATTTTAACTTTTTTTTATCCTAAAATAATTTTTACTTTTGTAGTTAACCTTCTATGTAAAGCAGCGAATATTAAGGGAGTGCCGCTGGCTCCATTGTGGTTGCACAGTCTCGGAATCGCGCTCCTCTTGTATATCGTGAGCACCATGCGTGAACTATGATCACAAATAGAACGATTAAAATAGCTAAATATTGTAGATTATTCTGAGTGCTACTGACTGTAAGTTTGAAGGGAGAGGATCATTGCTTAGCCATAATAACATAATATTGAAGTATCTAATTTGGAAACGTTTGTCCGTGCAAAGTGTTCACTGTTGTTACGATAGAAAACTTCAGGCGTTGCCTGATAACAAGCCAATGCCCAATTATGCTGTGAAATTGCATAGTGCGAGTTTTACGTAAATCAGAAGCACCTTTAACAAAATCGGTAATTCTGCACGAATCTTTGCACGATGACATACTGGTTGAAATTATACCGTCCGTCCAATCCAGGATCAGAGAAAATGCACTGTGTTATTACGTAAACATGTGTATAATGCGAAGAACGCATATTGATTCTTAAATATGAAATTAATAGCGTGCGAAGAAGTTCTAACAGCATTAAAGTTCTATATAACTTGTTGTGAATAAGGAAATTTACTCAAAAAGGTTATACGAATTGATTACAGGAAGAAGATAATATGGGTTGGGCCATTTTGTCGACGATCCGTGGTGATGATCTAATGATTAACGCGGCACATAGTGATCAGGAAACTAAGTGAATTTCTATTTGTTTCACAGAGCTTTATTAAAATTATATTTCCGTGACTGGCAGTTTACCACTGAATATCTTTTATAACAGTGGATTGGTATCCTTGAAAAGGAACCGCACAAATAACTAAGGAGAATTTACTGAGTATAGAATTAATTTTGACGTTAGCTGTCCTAGCAACTTTAGTATTACAGAAATCGTGTGAAACTGATCTGCTTTGAACGCCACTTCGTTGTTTTTATGGTTGCCCGAAGTTTCGAGATGAAAATTGGATTTATCGGTGCGGGCAATATGGCCCAGGCAATTGTCAAAGGCTTGTTGGGTTCCTATCCAGCAAAGCATATCGTCGTTTCAGCTCCTACTGACCGCAATTTAGCCTTCTTCGAACAGCTAGGCTGTCGCACCTCGCATGATAATAATGTTATTGTTACTACGTGCGACGTGGTCTTTCTCTGTATCAAACCAGCTCAATGTGATATCGCTTTCCGAGAAGTAAGTTTACCTACTTATAATGTGATTCATTGCTACTATGGCTACATTTTCCTATTTAAGGCGCTATCAAATAATTATATGTTCAGCTTTAGGAACAGACTTCCGTTAAGTCAATTCCCACCGCCTGTATTCAAGTTTGAGCTTCAACAAATTGTTGAAGTTATTCATTGGTCCATATTAGAGCAGCATTTATTTGAATAACAATACGGATTGGACGAAACTTTGAAAGTTCGCATGTACTAAAACCTATAGTTCATTACATATAAAGTCTCATATAAAGAGTCCTTATATATAAGGAGTCATTTGATATAGCACTAGCTCATAGGATAGGCTGTACTTCCGTCTACACTACAGGTCGAATGGAGACAACGTACGAGCCAGCTCGTGATCAGCGTGATGGCTGGTGTTTCCCTTGAACGCTTGTACCGTCTTCTCGGTCAAGGAATTCGCGTGATCCGTTGTGTGCCGAATACGCCCATGCAGGTAGCAAAGGGCGTATGCTGTCTATCGCCTGGAGTCGGCGTCCCAGTGGAGGATACACAGTTGGCAATCGAGTTATTGACGCCCAGCTGTTTGATTGTGTACACCGTTCCCGAGTCGCAATTGGACGCAATTTGTGCATTGGCCGGAAGTGGCCCAGCGTTTATTTGTCTCGTTGTCGAAGCGCTCTCGGATGGTGGTGTAGCAATGGGCCTGCCACGCGAACTCGCCACGGAGCTAGCAGCGTGTACCGTTGAGGGAGCTGCCGCGATGATTCGTGGAACGGGAAAACATCCTGCCGAGCTAAAGGATGCTGTGTGCTCGCCAAATGGAACAACCATCGCGGGAATATACGCCCTGGAAAAAGCTGGCATACGGGCAGGATTTATGGATGCAATTGAGGTAGCGACGAAACGGAGTAAAGAGTTCCGCAATGCCAAGTAAACCTGATTTATAGAACTTATAACTGACTGATTGCATACATCTATTGAAATGGCGGATGCTTCAGGGCGGCGATTAAACTTAAATAGTCCTTGCGAAATTTACATGATACCAAGAACAAATATATTGACAGTTACTAGCGCGTTTTCAACTCGACACGATTAACCTGTTGCAGTTGTGTAACTCTATAACGGCTTCAAGTTCATTCCTGTACTTCGCACACATGTGTGCGAAACATATGATTTTAAAAAATGATTCTTCCTTTTCCATATTATTGGACCTAGCGGTATCACTCATTCCTTATTACCATAAAACTAGTATCGCATTATATATTCTAGCATGGCAGCAAGATATATCAAGGAAGCTTGTGAAGATTTCTGAATCAGTGAATGCTAGGATGATTTTACAGGTGTTCAGATATGGTGCCATGAAACGTTCATTGATTGCGATACTAGCAAATAGACTATATATGTTTTATAACCTGCGTACTCCACTTGTTTGTTTGTATGGAGCTCCAAATATGATTTTATGTTATATTTCGATTTTCGTAGACGACAGCTCTACCGACAATTGTGTCCGAAAGCAGGAGTTCCGAGTGAACCTTTTAACGTGCTTTGCGGTGCTATTATACTAGGTGAATACAGAAATGGGCGGTATGACAGATTAAGTGTAAAACGCTAGCAACACGATCTAATGAATACGATCTCCACCAACATTTTCGTCTCATAAGAGAGAATTTTTCGAGACGTTTAGGGTTTAGAAGAGAGCAATGTTTGGCTGACGCGGTATTTGAAGTTAAAAGTCATACGATCGGGATAAAACTGGAATGACAATTTTTACTACTATTATTAAACATGTTATTGTTTTCGCTTGCTAAAGAACATAACTTTGGCACTGATATCTCTCTCTCTCTCTCCCTCTTGTTATTATTACTATTAATGCTACTTGCATCTAAATTCATTACAGAAAATTTGTAAATGCTGAAGAGATGGGCAATATCGAGCTATAGGCAGGATTCCAAGCGCAAACCACATTGAAATAGAACGCAAAACATAGCTAGCTGTTGTATATTGGAATTTCAGTTTTGAACGAATTACTGTTGATGCGAAGGTTCTTGAACCGTTTTGCAATTGCATTGATTTAGTAGATCTTTTTTTGTAATTTTTAAGCTTTTGTGGAATTATTGCTGAATGATGTGCTAATTTCGTTATCTGTTAATGACAATGTAAGACATCTACGTATAGGCTGATGTAACAATGAACAACATACAAAATAAAAGCATGATCCGGATATACAATATGACTCTACCAGGTCCTTTTTCTTAGTCATCATTGATCAAGATAATTGATAATTTTTTTTAAATTTCCTTAATGTCAGCCCTTTTTTTAGGCTTTGTGTCATGCGGCTATAATAGTCATGCGAATAGAGGAAGACATTTAGGGGAATAGCAGTGTAGTTTTATAGTTGGTTACTATTGCTTCAATTATAGATATTTTGCCATAGAACCTCACTCACTCACACACACAGTGTCACCTTGGTTATATATTCATATTCTGAGATAAAGTTGCTACGTGTTTGTCTCAATAACCGAAATTTATCATCAATTTACATACGCTTAAAAGTAAGTATTAAAAGTTATGTATTAAAGACATCTATGAGCTATTTTTAAGGTGATATTAATATCGAGATGGGAATAGCAAGTTCTAAGAACACAACGAGTGTATAGCCTTGTAAGAAATTTAACTATTTTTATGCGACCATTTACAGAAGTCCCTCGTAGTATTACTGAAGGCTATTTGGGTCATGAGATAGATCGTAATAGCACGTATTGTTGTCTTTTTTTCTTAATTAAAAATGAAACAGTTTTGTAATTTAGGACCTCATTCTAACAGTACTGTGTAGATTTAAACATACATTGCTCTTTTGCGTTTAACTTAATATTTATACATTCAACTGATCTTATAGTACAAATGCTGCACATACACACACTATACACATTCACACACACACTCATACAGAGTCGACGACGTTGGTTTTCGATGCCCGTTGTTCCTATGAAGTTTTTACGTTCTAATTTGCTATAACGTGACATAGATGCCGGAATCTACACTATGATTTGGTCGTATTGTTTCGTCCATTTTTCAGTAATCATAGGAAACTATCAGGGTCACTATAAATGTGGAGGACAGTGTGTTTTGTTTAATAGGGTTAATCGCGCATTTTCAATAGGATTAATATTGCATTAATTAATTTTATTTTCGTATATGCCAATATACCAAAGTAGAGGCGGCTTAGCCGAAATTCTGCTTTTTGTCTCTGGCTAAACACGTCGGCAACAAGTGTCAAGATTACGAAAAGTTACGAGTATCACCATAAACCCCATTAGCAGGTCGTGCTATCTTGGTGTATTGTCCTTTTTAATGCAGTCGAGAACACCATCAAAGCCTTCCACTCGTGGACTTTTTAATTGTACGCATTCCATGATGGTCACCATTTCTATGAGAGATTCTTCCTGAAATTGGAGCGCAAAACAAGTACAGTTTCTTGTTTTCAAAAGTGCCACGGCTGCTTCGAGGATAGCACTTCCTTCATTCGGGATAACACTCCTAACCCACGGCAAGTGCTAATCCTGTCATTAGGTGGACGAATGAACAGACGAAAGATCCTTCACGATCGGTTATATAGCTGCATCGTCAGGAAAAAAAGGTTTTTGTACGATGTACCCTTTCTAGCGGGCGGAGCCAATCAAGGTCGCCATGAACTCGTAAAACGTCAACATTCTGAGCAATAATTGCAATTCCAATGAAGATTTTTTCACGAAAACGACTGCGGAAAGGGTTTAGTCTCACTATATCGCAGTTAACTATACCGCTAACTTGTGTTCAAGATGTGGGGGGAGTCCACGAATTCGGTGGAAGCAATGCATATTTTCCTAAACTCCCGGTTTGTTTTAGACGATTGAGAATCATTCGCCAATCAGTATTATGCGATATGCAAAGCACTCGACCCTCAGGCCGATTCTGACTTTTGCTCTTTAATCCTGAAATCAAATAAAAACAAGCAACAATGATAAACAAAGTAATTCATAAATTTCACTAAAGGTATAGGGACGCTGATAAATATCTTCTGAAAAATGCCTATTTATTGAAGCTAAACAACGCAATAGTACGACGAGCCAGGCATGGTTTATTTAAATCCTAACAACGTATTACTTTTTTAGTCTAACACATAATATGATAAAGCCTTACATTGCAATGATAAGTGGTCGTGTTACTTACCAAGTCTTCTTGCAATTGTATGTATCTCTTTTCTCTCCACGCTGGAGAATGACGGGCTGAATTTCAGCTCATCAAAGACGTCGGTTTCACGCAAAAAGACTCTGAGAGTGGACGCAACATGGGTCTTGAAGCGTTTGCTCACAGCGCTTGCACCCTCGTAGCCAAGACCTCGCCCGCCAGCGCTATCTTTAAGCATGACAGGCTCGATAAGACCTGTACCATGGCCGAGGCCGCCTCCCTGCCAACCCATGTTCCGTAGTAGCCGATAACCTACGTTGTCTTCATCGAGTTGACGGCCCAAGTCTTCCTGGACGGCTTGACTTTCGAGGTCAAGTGCCATCGTGTCTTTGTTAAACTCCTGAGCGCCTTCAGCTATTGCTTGCTTGATATCTATAGTGAAGCAATTACGAATTAGTTCTTCGAGGGCCGCTCGAATGCAAGCACGCCTAGCGACTTGCTTCGTTTCACCACTTCCCTCGAATTTAAGCGGGGATTCTGTAGGCAGAGTAAGTCGACAAATCTGTACAGTTACCCCCTTTCTGATCATAGCATCAGACTCAAAACTCAGAGCCAGTCCGTTGGCTGACGCGAATATTGCTATAAGGGCTTGCAGATCCGCGCTGGCTCTGGCAGGTCGTATAAGGAACAAGTCTCTGTACTCCGATCTGATCGTTGCATTTATCACAGGCATTCCCTGCTCAGGAAGAGCCTGAGCTCGCCGGTCCTGTTGACCGCTGCCAGATGTTTTCAACCAGTTTCGACCATCTCTTTCAATAATTTCGAACTTCATTCGACTTTCAAGGATCTCATAAAGTTTTTTCGCTGTGGTGAGCTTGGCGTGATTCTTTGATTTGCCGACTGCTTCTGCTAAAATTACGCCATGGAAAGTTAAAAGACATGTGGTGGTTTGGTTGAAAGTGTTAAATTCGGGCTTAAGGAAAGTCCCCGGAACTATCGCGTCCCGAACTGGTTTTAACTTTGTCAACTGGAATGCCATATTGAGAGCAGATTGTACATCAGCTGAAGCACCTCCGAACATTGCTACTTTACTTTTGAAATTGGGCGTCCAAATTGTATTTCGCACCTCAATAAGGTTTCTAATGATTTGGCTGTATACATGACGGGTATTTACTGATGGCAGCCATGCACCTGCCTGCGAACTTCCTGCTTCATTTAAACTCTGTCTACATATTTTGTCTTGGCCAAGCGTGTTCGTCACTGAAAGACCAACTTCCAAGACAAGGTCGATGTCTCGTTGCGTGATTCTCCACTGTCGGGGGTCAAACACTTTTTCAATGAAATTCTCATATGCCGATGGTTCATCTAAGCCAGAGGCAATTTGTACTCCGTGAAGCTTAACAACTGTCTGCTTTCCATTCGTGATTTCGAGTTTCCACCCTGACGCCGTAACGGCCATGTTTACTTGCAGCATCACAAACTCCACGCGGGCCTTGCGAAGCGAAGGCCGAACCTCCTTCAGCTGCATCCTAAGATCGTTTAGCAGTGAAAGCTGAGCATTGAATGGCATAGGAAAATTTCTTTCCCATCTAGGACTTTTCCGGCCAGGTCCTTCGTCTAATGATGTTGATTCCATGTGTCTATTCAGATCATCTGACTTTCTTCGCTCGCCTACCGTACTCGACTTAACGAAGCCCAGGCGTATGGCATAATCCTTTTTTCCTGTACCAAACTGGAAAGTGTTTTGGGTCGAAGCGGACGCATTACTGTTGTCAACTGACGGGTCCTTATTTCCGAAGACGAAATCTCCCGCTTTCTTTGAGGCAGAGAGAATGGACTTGAAGGGAACACCAAACTGAAATTCGCCTCCAGCTAACTGCTCTTGTGACGCGGACTTAACGAAGCCCAGCTTCCTCTCATAAGTTGTCTTCCCAAAAACAAAGCTCTTAGGATTCGAATGCATATCACTAGTGGCAGGAACGTTATGATTCCACGCATCGTCCTTGGATCTTGGAATGGCGCTAATCCCAAAGCCTAACTTGGGTCTATCATCTTCACTGTCATTATCGTCGTCACTCTCTTTTAAACGCTGTGAAATGTTGTTATTTTTGACACTCAGTCCCTGAGTCTTATTTGATTTTTGGATCGTTTTCTCTACTTCATCCTCACATAAATCTTCTTCGTTGCTATCATCGTCGTCCTCGGCGTCCAACGGTGAAGTTGCGTCATTGACGCTTAGTGGCGCAGCCTTAACAAAGTTTATCTTTGCAAACGGTAGACCCTTCGTCTTTTCCTTTTCCTCAACGAGTCCTACGGACATGCGGTTAACCTCGTCCATGACACGGGCCGAATACGAACACCCAAGAATATGCATATTCTGAAAACACTGAGCAAGCGCAAGAAGACGCGTCCGCCGTTCCGGCGGAAAATCGTCCCAGTTACGTTCAAGAAATGATCGCCGCAAGATCCATTGCTCCTGTGGCTCGTATGCTTCCCGGTAGCTATCCAAGGCGTCCATCTGAAATTAAGGCAAAGACAAAATGGGTATTTTAGGAACGTGAAGTTTTATGGCACTCTCGTTTGGCAGAAACGGATCTTGAGAGAAAAATAAATGGTGCTTTACTAAGATAGATGGTATCGGTATAAACAATAGCTTGGTCAATGATTAGTTGATGATATTAGACTTCCTTGCCTATGCTATACAGGAAGGAAACATAGGTAAGATGATATATTGGATACATTGGAATAAAGCAAACGTCACAATTAGATAAAATTATATTAATATTGTATATCTTAATGGCGTTAGTCCTTCATTCCAGTACTAACGCTGTCAAGACGCAACTCTAAAAATAGATGCCGAACGAACACTTGAAAAACCGTTTGCGCCACATACAGAAATCTAACGACTCACACTGCCGCTTAAGTTTTCAAGAGGTCATGGCATATCTTCAAGATACTACCGAAAACAAATCATCCTTAGGTTAATATAACATATTATATGTAATGCTTATTATTCATATATGGCGTGTCTTTTATTTGTAAGCTCTAACACTACCTGCCTTTTGAAGTTTAGGTGCTTTTTTCTTCTCAACTTACCGGTGGTGGCATTGAAAGCCTGGATTTCTTCTGGATTCAAGATAACAGAAATACAAGAATTGATGTCGTGATCCAACCATGCAAATATTTTCTGACTGGCGTTCCGTTACATTAATAATCTCCTATCAACAATATGCATGGAATGTTGTGCTTCATAGGCTCCTTCTCGTCGAATCCGTGCATGCCACTGTTATGGAGTTGGTCCTTCTAAAACGCGGATATCGGAATGGGCAGAGTTGTCCCGCGCGCGACGGCAAAAAATATTAGATGTGCATGTTTCATCCCCATGGTGGTGCACTTGTAACATGTTCGCCTGCTGAACCTAGGAGCACGCTCTGGCCTAGATTTTAAACTGAGCGGAGATATGCTTCGCTTCGTGCAAAAAGAAGTCAGACGTTTCAAGCGATAATTAACGGTAATTCCGGACGAAAAACTCGAAACATTTTTTTAAATGTACTGGTGGGCTCGTACTATAGTTAACTGAAACTTTACTTTGATAGTGAAGCTTAAGAGGGAAAATGGTTTCAGAGGTAACAAAAGCTTACTGATCAAGTTCTGCCTAGTCTGGATGGACCATTTGCGTTAGATAACCTTAAAAAAATGTACGCTCCCATAGAGAGGGTGGATTGAAAATAATATGTTAGTACTACTATATAACACGTAATTATATTAAATTACACTATGTTAATAAATCAGTCAATATGAGCCTGTGTTTATAGCTAGCCTACTTAAGCTAAATTGATGCATGGGATATTATTACCATAAAGACATACGTGAGTGCCAAATGTTTTCTAGTGCTAACGATTCGTTGTCGGTACTTATTTGATGCACTCTTCTTGTTTTGACCACTTACAGCTATCTCACTTTATTTTAGTTAATGTAAAAAATAACAGCAGTTATTGCCCATGTTCGCTTAAACATTCCCAGCTTCACATCATTATGAGAAATGCCATCCACTGAGTTTTTATAGCTTCTAAGGCTTAGCGGTAATTTGAATTCGTGACGGTGGATTGTGCTGTTCTACAATGTAAAAATGTGTTTCCCACAACACTTTTCGTTTTCTTTCAATACAGGTAACTTGAAAGTATGAAGTATAAACTTTTACTGAAATATCTATTGCGTTAGAGTGAGAAATCGAAGTATGCGCATCATTGTCGAAGAGTAGCACGCAAGCTTTACGCCTTCACTGAGATGAACCCAATTCTTGAATGATAGGAAAAACGGCTCAGCTGGCTAAAAAACTGTACTTGAGTTCGGGCTACATATTACGTTTTGGCAGGTCTGAGAATCTCCGCAGTTCTCAGTCTTAATTATTTAGTATCTTATAAGTGAGATATTTTCACGCGTAGCCGTTCTTATAAATACAGTGTGTCGCCGATAATTTTTCGGAGACTGACATTCTTGCAGAGTCGTCCTAATATTTTGTCGCTGTTTTACGTTTGGTACTTAAACCATTGGGCATTACTTCAAACGGCTGGCTTCCGGGCACTTGTAAACTTTTATTAAATATAGCTCAACCATCTCTCATTTTCACCGCGCTTTTGGTAACCGTTATTGAGAAACCTTAGTTTTGAATATCGTCTACTGAAATCGCCAGAACCGAATTCTGCTTTCCGCACAGGCTTCTGTTTCTCACACGTGGTAAACTCTCAAAACACTGACAAATGCTTTTCTTCGTAAGCAATAGTTTTGAAGAAAATCAATTGACAGCATATTCAATTGCAAGACCAGTAAAAAATAAGCAACCTATTTACTTGTATGCATCATCGTTGATTCCCATTTTGAATCACCTGAAACGCCGCGTTGTCTCCAGCACCCCCAAACACGAATGCATTCATCCACTTCGTAACTAGCAGGCAGCTTATAGAGAACTTACACCTTTTTTTACGCAGGGCTGTCGTTTTGTGATCCTGGTGTTACTACTATATGACACTGTAGTGAATACTGCAGTCGACAAGTTTTAAGGTGAGTGTATCTTCACACTGAATGATATGTTGTAGGTTAAATATACGATTCACAATGACAGTCCTTGAATAACCCTTTGTGTGCATGTGTACAAACCATTGCAGCGGTGACACCTCTACGTAAAACGCTGTCTCTTTTCTTTTCGTTATAAATTCGTGCATCTACTTTAGGTCGTCATCACCGACGTTGTCATAGACTCAATCAACCCAATATCGATCAGCTGTGCGATGCTACTTACTCACCGTCCAATACAGTGATGATGGTGACCTCCCATACGAAAATGCGCAATTTGCATCGAGCATGTTCTGCTACTCAGATCACTCCGATCGCTTATCATGAGCAGGGCAGCTGCGTGATCAGTTGCTTTCTCTGATAATCAACAACAACCGGTGTTGCTGACAATTTTTTGAATCGCGTACCGTCATTTGGACATGAGTCAATTGAGCTTTATTCAAGTCAATCAAGAGCCATCTGTTATTTAGCAGACCCATTTATTTTTAACTTCTAACAGATATTTTAACTAAAAATTATCTTAAAACTCTTCCAATATGAAAAATAGTGTATAAACATGTAATGGCGCTATACATTCGTGTTTTTTGTTGTTTGTGTGGTATGCAATTAAACAGTGCCGCCTGCACCGAATGCCAGCTACATACGTTTAGACCAAGTTGATTGTCTATAGCGTATGTACACTTGCTGTGTCATTGTCATCCATCTTCGTTAGTCTAGAGTGCATACCTGCCTGGATTAGGAGCACTCAATTACTGTCGCATGGATAGAAATGCTAGCATAAACGTTCCCCTGGAGATACCTGAATTGGGTCTTACTGGCAGGAAGAAAACGCGATCGTGGGCTATTGCTGACGGACCTTGAGAAATACATATCCAGCGGTCGGATTGCCCGATGACAGGTAGTTTCTCTAGTTGGTGTTATAAAGTCGCAAAAGTGCAAAGGATCCCACTGTTTCAATGATATTAAACAGTGATTTTTATGTTGCACAGAAGTTCATACTTTTTCTTCGCTGCTATACCTTGGTGATATATTTTGCACCAATTTTATAGTGTGTTTGGCCAATGTTACGAATGCTGACTCTGTCATAGTTAAGATCACTTTAGAAGTCTGGCTTTTGCCGGCACAAACAAACTGTGTACCTACGCCTGGTTTCGAACCTAGACCACCTCACATATCTCTAAGTTCTGTAAGCAAACAGATTGGCTCTGAATCATCGCGAAATTTGTATTTTGGTAAAAAAAAGACATACAGAGAGAGATAACGTATGTATAAGTATTCTTAATAAAGGGACGAATCATTTTGGACAACAAAGAGGCAAATCAATTAATACACGTAGACTTGCTACCAAATTAAAAGGACATACAGTATACAGAAAATATACAGTTATCCAAAGGAGTAATATGTGCAGATTCTAGACAGTCAATAATCCTGTCTGTATTCCGTGTTGCTAAAACCAATGCTAGTAGCAAAAAAGCAGGCTTAAGCTTGATTACGCCTTTGATTGGCGACGAGCGGTGCCCTGTCTAAGCAATATCATAATGTTCACTGAAAGTAAAGTTCGAAAGGTATCGAGTGTTGCCGTTGTACAAGTATAATTACTTTAGCAAAATAAAAAGCCAAGAGTCAGCTTTGTGGGGGGTAACGTAACGTTTTCGAGGGCAGTCCTAGAGGTTTACGTCATGTGAAGTTGATTGGCCGACCCTTCTTCACTCTCCAACAGTCTCACTGCTTTCTGTACGTACATAAACAAAAGCAGCTGTCGTTTTGTCGCCACTATTAACTCTGGAAACACAGACGAGTAGATTTTCTTGCAAAAGCTTGTCACTATTCTTGTCTTTGCCGGTGTTGGCGATCTAATAAGGTTAAAGCGCTTAAATAAGTATATTATGCGATAATAACTAACAGTTTGCGTCTTCGATTATATTTAGTAAAACGAATACAGAATTGTCGTAGGGCATCTCAATTAAGAGACGTTTTAAAGTAATAAGAATTATGACAATAGTGTGAAAAAATTACAGGGAACAGTGGTCTCAGATATATCAATGAACATTGATTTCAGCATTACTGTTGATAGGAGTCTGTGGTGCTTGTCAGAAGCCGCAGGAAGATCGATCTTTGCTTGGTACAGGGTTTTTTTTTTTTTTTAGCAAAAAGTGGTTAAAGCTTGCGAGTCTGTCTCACTGCGTTGATGAAATTAATCATCTGGCACAGGTGAAGGTAATATATGCATATGCTACCTATACTGAACAGTAAGCATTCAAGGCTCGAATGAGTTTCAAAACAACTAGACTTACAGGTGTGCGTCTTTAGGCCGAACTCGTATACATTACCTAATATTATCGATGTTATAGAAGATACAAAAAAAAGAGTGCTATTGTTATCATTGCAATTATGTGCTCCTTCTAATGTTTTTCGTAATTTTTAGACTTTGAATCTAGGACAGTCAAATCAAATAAATGTTATGTAACAGTTGCATTGTTTTTTTTTATTTTTATAAATGGGTGCAAAGCATGGCCGACACGCGTTGCGTATTTAAATTAGTGAGCGCTTACACTGGTAAGGAAACCTAACGGTTAAGATTGCAAAGGGTGTTTCTGGGTAAGGCTCAATCAAACAGCTTACTAGAATACATTGCTGTTTACTTTTTCGTTTATTCTAAGAAAAAGACAAAAATGTCTGCGGTTTTGTCAATTGCGAGATAAGAAAAGTTATGGGCCGCATTAATAAATCATTTTAAGCAAACAAACATCGTTTTCAAACAGTTCCATTGTGAAATAAAGCCACCTTTTCATGAAAAAATTGGTGCACAGTCCCTATGGCGTTGTCATTTAAGCGTGGCTCGTTAATATATTTTAATTAGAGCGTGCCTTACTTAATCGGAGAATTATGCAATAAACAGAGAACTATTTTCTTTGGCGCCTCATGGAGAGATGATTTTCTGGTTAACTACCGTGTAGATGAGACAGAGCTCTATCCATAGCGCATCACTATAACGGTTATATACGGGACGCAATGGGCACTTGGTTACGAGATATGAATCTTTTGCATCATTACTGAGCTCCATTCACCACTCGGTACAGACGCATCGTAGAACAAATGTCAAATAGATTAGTAACCTTTTCAATTAATCGTAACCTATGACACAGAGATGCATTCTAAGTTGATTGTACAACTTTATGTCAGTTCACTAGTAAGAGGGTATATCGATGATTGCATAAAACTCCTAAAGCACTGCTAATTATATATACTATGATTTTTGTATTCAATAACATTGTTTCTTTTTTTTTTTTTGGTTTTAGCGTTGCATCATGATAAAGTTTCTCATCAGCTTCGCACTCGGGACCTACACAGGGATTTACATTACACAGGTACGAAATAGCCAGGAAAATTTATTGGCCTCATTGAGAGATCGTAGAGTGGTAATTACCATGTACCACCGTAAAGATGGTACGTAGATAACCCAGCCGATTAACGCTTTGATCAACCAGCTTCAAAATTGTGCATTACCAAAGACTACCGAAAACCTTTTGAGGGTGGCTTGACTAGAGTTAGGCAATTAAAACGCTCTGGCTTGTTATAGCTTTATGTTGGAAAAATGCTGCTCGTTAAAACAGACACGAGGGCTTGTTCCCCCGCTTACATTAAGCCTACACATATTATTCCCTTTGCAACATGTGTTTAATACTTAATATCTTCCTCTGTATCATAAAAAGCCCGTTTTCTTTTCGCATGTTGGATGCTCTATAGCGCATTAGTGCAGTGCGGCACGAACATCGTTGAAGTATAAGCTACGTGAAATCGACGTACCGCGTATGATTACGTTAATTAAACAATAAAGTTTTTATCGTTCTGTTAGATCAAAGACATAATACGATTGATTTCAGGTAACCCGACGAAATTTTCTTTAATCTGTATTTTTTTAATCTAAATCTGGGAGCTTAGCTACTTTAGAGATTCTCTACTTACGCCTTTTTTTCTTACGTGATAATTAGTAGCTAAGATAGTAACTAAGTGAATAATAAAACAATTTTGAGAGTCACTCAACTCATGTGATTCTCGTCTGATTTATTTCGTCTTCTGTCCGCACAGAACTACGATATCCCACGTGTTGACGAGCCTCAGGAGCTGTGGCGAAAGCTAAAAGAGTATGCCGATAAGCATCGCAAGGACTAAGTGACAGGACAGCACTCGAGAAAAGTAAGAGATACAGTTGTCCGGAATTGGCAGATTGCTCTGTCCGGATATGTTCCGTCGAAAAAATACCTAAGGCTTTCCACGTACGATTCTTCACTCTTAAAGTATCATACACAAAACGGATCGAAGCTAAAGTGACAACGTTGGCCGCCTTCACCTGGCAAGGTGCGCACAGCTAAGAATCATGGCACCTGACATTACCTAGTGACCCGAAAGGCAGTGCGGCAACTGCCTGTTTGAAAATCCGATTTTAAAATATCATAATTGTCTATTTCGTCAGGAAGCATTTTAGTAAAAGGGTTTTAAATATGTGGATAGAAGGATACAAGGCACCAGACCGAGCCGCACTGAAATGGGTGGAACTCGACAGCCACAAAACACTATGGGAATACTCGTTTCTAAATGACACATAGATTCACAGATATCGTCTGGATACAATAGTGGAGCTACATGTGCGCTTATGCGATGCTTGAATGGTCAAACCCTCTAGACCGACCGAGGTTTTTGCAGCATGTGATCTTGTAATAAACGCCGATCCTTGTTGATCATGCCTCCCAACAAAATTCGGTGTATTTGTTTAGTAACCAACTATAGCTCATAAGATGTTTGTAGTAGTTTGAATACGAGAACAGGGGATACCTAGAATACAAAAATGTTTGACCTTTCCAAATATCACTCTCGATAATCGAAAATAGAGTCGTACCTCGTTAGATCTGGATGCGTCTTTTTGCTGTCACGTGTACAACAAAATCTGTGCTTTTTCCTGTGCTTCTTACAATCCCACGCAACTAACGCCAATATTTACTGGACCATTGCTACTACAGGCGATATATGTGGTATGAAATTAGCCTTTGTTCACGAAAATACGCAATTTATTGATTGATTTACTGATTTCAGTATTTTGATCAAGCTTTAAATTTTATATGTTTTCATTAGCGTATCATGTAGTAAGCGATCGAGTGAGTAGAACTTCATTGGCAGTGGTAAGTGAAGTTAAAGGACAAGCAATTTAATAATTTTTTTTGTAAAGACTGAAACATTTCAGCTTCAAAAACCTTACAACGGGAAATATATGATAAGTAGGAAGCGTAATCATCTTCAAGAAGTTATTTAATTTCACTTCATGTTGTCATTCAGACTCTCGATACCAAGTGCAAGTTACTATTTATATCATTATTAAGTAAGGGCATTTTGTTTTGTTAATTTTTTAATTGAATGTTTTGCTTCCTTTATTGAGTTTAATACGTCTTGCGCCTATTATAGCATGCTGGTCAATTCGTAAGACTGCTTCGTATATTCGCTTATTCCAACAATTTTCTAATTGTATGTGCATCGGAGTGTTTATAGAAAACTAGAAGCTCCTATACATCTTGGCTCGATATTTATCTGAAATGTTCACTCGATCTGTTCAGGCTGCTCTGTTCTGCTCCGTTTTTCTTCGCATTTCTTTGCAGGTGCCTGTGAGAAAGCGATTACGCCCCTGTGCCGCGATTGATATGTGACGTGGGGTATCATACCTGTCTAACCATAGTCCACACCTCTCAGCATTGTCCCTCTTACTGGGACTCCTATCGAGGTGTTTCGACCAAGTTTGCCTCGTTATATAACACGCCTACCTACTATACTTGGTGTCCAGAGGCTGCTGGCGTCATTGTGTGGGTGAACCGTTGCGGTGGCTCGTTGACGCGAAAACGATGTTTCTCTTCAAAGGGTCTACAAAGTCCACGCCGACAATGTCTGAGCAGGACCAGGCCGCGCTGCAGCGCAGACTCTACCTGGCTGAGAATACACCCGAGCCAGTGTTTGATCTGAGTGAATGCCATTTAACGGAGGTGCCATCAGGCGTGCCGGCCAAGTGCCGCGTTTTCCGCAAGACGTCGCTACTTTTACAGAAAAATTGTCTCACCGCGTTGCCCGATCTCCGCGACTTAGTTCTTCTCACCGTTCTTGACGTGTCATGTAACCAACTGAAGAAACTGCCCGATTCGATAGGCTGTCTCGTGAATCTCATCACACTAGACGTTCACTCGAATCAGTTATTGAAGTTGCCCTCGTCAGTAGCCAAGCTCCGCTGCCTTCGAACACTCGACGTGTCGGATAATCGGCTCAGTTTCCTACCACAAGGGGTGCGACAGCTTGGATGCACGATTCGGGCCGAAGGATGTCCGCTACTGGAACAGGTCGATCTACCTAAGGAGCCAGGAGGTTTGCCGGGCTCTCCAAAGGAGTCACCCCAGGAAGAGAGCCCGAATTTGGGCAGTGTCTGGGACCGGCGTGAACGCATGCTGCGACAACTACGTGAGCAGGTCGCCGACGTGGAGGAACGTCTTTACGAACTGACTGTTAGCGAATATGAGAAGCGTGATCGTCGACAAAATTACAACATGATGAGCATAGCCGAGGAGCGCGTACAGCTTGCCGCTAACCTCAACGATCTGATCACTAAACGCGAGCTGCAGCTAAGTGAGTTCCGCGCAGCGGGAGTGAGTCCCCAAACGCTTCAGTTCGAAGACTCGGGAGTGGTGGATCGCGACTGTGTCGTGTGTCTCGAGTCCGGCCTTCAGTTAGTTGTGTTGATGCCATGTGGCCATGTGTGTGTATGCAGGCAATGCGCCGAACAGATGAGCCATTGTCCGCTCTGTCGGGAGCCCCTATCTAGCGAAAACAAGATTTCCCTGGGAGAATAAACCCAACCAATGATTATAAATACAATTTTGAAGATGGCAAAAAATGACAGAAACTGGAAGGCATATTTGATGATTCTGATGCAATTAGATTTCTGATTAACTGTAGGTAAATTATTAGAATAAAAAGCTGAAGGATATATATGCATATATATATATATATATATATGATGTATAAAAGTTATAGATAGGTTAACTAATTTATCTAACTAACCCATTCAGAGACGACACTCCACTTACACTGAATATGTCATACGATGCATAGCTCAAGTTAAGAGCTTAAAAATATTAAGAAGTTTGGAAGAAGCAACATAATTCTTAGAATAAAAATATTGTACATGCAAAAAGTATTATTTTTATTTTTACGATTTTGTCCGAAATTGGCTGGCAAACAAGGGATTGACTATGTAGAAAGAACCGGAGGTGAGTTTGGCCTTTAAAATACCGCGCAGTCCGTCTTTTTTATGTATATAGGTGAGTTTTAGGTTGCAAGAGACAAATTTTCAACAGCTTATAGGTGACATAGGAATTGATGACGAGAACCTCGAACTCTGCAGTCTAGTTTACGTATCCGCTAGAAAAAACACTCCTAGAATTAAACCTGAAATAGAGATTCGAAAAGCGTGAACAGAAGTCAACCGATTCTCTAGATCAACGTATTCTAGAACGTACTGTTTGGACATTACGAGGACGCATAGCGGAACAATCTTCGCAACCAGTGACAAATTGCAAGAAAAACGCTCTACCAAAGTAGATAAGATACGTCTAATGTGATTTATCCGAAGTCGTTTTGCTGTACCATTAAACTCAACCAAACGACAATCGAATCATTATCGATGCTAAAATGGATGGCCCATAGTGATAGCCATGCCGAGTGGAAACAGTTAGATCAATGTCACAATCGACATAGGCGAAACGAGATAGCTCAAAACCGTATCACTATAACATATCAATTATCATACAAAGAATAGTATTGCTCGGCGTGATAGTTCGAAGAGCTGGATTTTCGACAACTAGTATGAATACACGGGCCCATGAGCAAATTTAGAACGAAGAACATCAGTGGACGGCTCGTGATTGAAATTGGAACAAAAAAAAAAAAATTAACGCAGTAGCTATCGTGCACCGCAAACACTTTCGATGCACGTGGCAGTACCGTCCTACCGTAGAACGTAGCTTTCACGAGAATGCCAGAGGCCACTATGTTGCACTATGTCGACAACACCGTTCACCAAAAAAGAGCGTTACTATCCCAACAGCGCGTATAATTTTTTTTGGAAATAATCTCACACGAAGAATCTAATCACTTGGAATCGATTCTTATATAGACATCTGTAAAAACAAAACAAAAAAAAAAAACAAGATTGATAGTCATTGGAAGTGATGTAACAACATTTCATATAGTCGTTATAGAGAAAGATGTTTCCCAAACGCTCACTATTAGTTATCCATGATCATAGGGAAATACGACTGGCGAACGTGTCGCTTGCTAGCAAATACACTAGTTAACAGAAGAGCCATTGTGCACGCTACATATTCATCAGAAACGCTAATAAAATATCTTTGCTCAGATCTTGTGCTTCATTGTGGAACCGGCTGAACGATTTCGGATATGAAAAAATTGATCGAGCTAATGTTTACAGCAATTACGTACAATCAGATCACAATAATCATTACTACTATAGTTGAGGGCATTTTCGCGAGTTTTTGAGAATATCTAGTCGTGAGTTGAAATCTCGACTCCCGAAAAAAAACTAGACAGTATGAATAAAGCGCTTTGTTTGTTCTTCGTTGATTTCATTTATTGGCTATGCGCCAGCTTGATGAACGAACGACTGATGCATTTTTCCAACAGAGCTAATTCTCCTTGAAATTAAAAAACAAATACCACCGGAAAGACATCTTTAGAGGACAATCACTTTACCTAGAGTTTACAGTTTTTTTTTTCATCGTCGATTTATGTGTGATCTAGCACAACGTACACTAAAGAATAAGGCTAAGGCACTGCCTGATTCGAAAAGCCAGGTCATTTATTTAAATTCGCCTATTGCATTATCTATAATAATACAGTATGCTGACAAACCACTTGGTTCACACTAAGAGTTTTTGTGGTACGAAACTTTCGAATCCATATTTTGGCTTGTAGAACGAGAGGTGGCACTCCTTTTTGTGTAGCTGGAAACGTATTTATGTCATAATTTGGGCACAAGAAGAACATTGTTCGGATGGATCTGGCTCGCACGTATGCTCCGAGGCTGAGCAACCGTTTTGGACGAATAGAGCAAAAAATCAAGAAAAATATGTCTGCTCTCAATGAGAACTCTGACGTTCAGAACTTTTGTGCGTATTTAGTAAGCGTACCGAGATAAATGGCTGTTGTTGTTCTTCGTGCCTGGTTCGGATTGGCAAAAGGTCACTCGCGTCGTTAGATTATATTCAGTCCGAAATTTGCAGCTACCCTCATCGTTCAACCATAATAAAAGCCATTGTTTCTATTAGAGTTTTTCACCGACCACGAAAAGCTTTTTTTTAGTATAATGTAATATATATATATATATATATATATATAGCTACCCCGTGTCTATCCATCTGCACCGAATATTATCAATTGACCGCTGTCACTTCGACAAACGCTACCCACATGCGTCTCTAACTGTCCTTGCTCTTATCGAACAAGGTGCTCAGCGCTATTACCCTCTGCTTCGACCAATGTACCCCCGTGCTTCTCTCCCCCCTCTCTCTCGGTCTCTCTTTGAAATACTTCTACCCTCTCTACTTTTGGCCCTTTCCACTCACTCATTAAGGGACCGTTCCTCCGACGCACTAAACAGAGCAGATTGGGGAGTTCTACAGGGATCGCGAACTGTGAAGCTTTGCTGTTGGCTGCACGAGACTCTGAGTCTCCCGCCTCCCCAGCGTGGTTGTCTAGCCATTTCTGTTGTTTCTGCTGGCCCGCACCACCTTGCACGTTGTTCATCGTCGTTAGTACGTGCCGCTGGCCTCCGAGCGTCCTTTATTGGCCTGGAATGCTTCAGGAAAAAGGCCGCATAGGTCGTGGTTTTGGTCCTGCTATACCCCTGCTACCCGGCCTTTCCTATATAGATCATCCTATAATAATACCACTGCAACTACTTGTAGGACTATGGCAATAGTGGCTATGATATCCTTCGAAGCCCTCTCTCACATCCCCAACTGACATCGGCTCCAGCCATATCTCATTGTTCCCTCACCCCACCCTCATTGAGTCACTGGCAAACGAGTCGGGAACGCGCGCGCCCGGCATCACGGGTCGTCGGCAGACATCAACCAAAAATGCGGTGAACGACTAAGCTCGTTTTGCTGAACTCGTAGGTGTCTAGCTGACTCGTAGCTAGGGAACCGAAGCCAAGCCAGTTGCTTTAGATTGCTATGAAACTAAAGGAGCGCCCTAGTTGGCCCGAAGCGTCCTTAAGAGCTTCACGATGACAGCAAACTTTTAAAAAAGGCCAATGAAAAGATTCCAGTAGCATGGAGAACGAGCAAGAAATATTTGTGTTGTGTTTAAATAGTACTACGGTGTAAGAAGAACGCACGTCCTGCGAAGCATGGTCATTGGTTATTGTAACTTGCATTGGATGCCCGTAAGTTGGGTATGTTGATGCTGATAATTATCTTTTGCTGCTTCTCTTGAGCGTTCTGAGGTATTGTAACAACGGGAGTCGGAGCGAAGTCTTTGGCTGACTAGGGAGCGCCGCTTAACAAAAACAGTTCGGCCGAGCGCCGCTGTCGACTCCATACTCCACTCTCCACATCGCTAGTTTGGGAGAGTCTCTACGAGGCTTCGTCAATGAGTCTGCTATTCATACGCTGCGTCCGACTCGGTCGTAGCTCTATGAACCCTTGGTTGCGGTGCGAGCGTCGCTTGGCGCTGGTCCCTTGGCGCTGAGTGAAGTATAGCAGCTTGCGAACGCCATACAGAGATAAATCGGAACAGGGTTAAGTTCAGAATAGATTACTTCTGATATAAGTTGTGCCTGTGTAGTACGGTATAGTAGAGTCCACCGCTCGGTCCATGTGGCTGTGTCCTGTTGTGGCGGCGTTGCTCGAGGAAAAGCAGGTGAGGAAGAAATTTACGGAAAAAAGGGGCAACAACGACACAAACGGTTGTGAGGGTGTTCTCCGCTTCCATTAAGGAGAACTCGATTCTCGGGGTGCGTGAGCGCATCGCCGCCCCAGACACCGCATAATCTTGCCGCAAATCCCGGATCCCTCGATGCACAATTTTTACACCTGTGTCTCAGCTGGACAGCGTTGAACACTTCCCCCGTACCTCCTGCAACTGGGCTGCTATTAAATTCGGCAGTGAACGCCGACTTACAGTTTATTTGTTGTCGTCGTCGTCGTCGTCATCCTTTTGTTGATGCTGCTGTTGCGTCGGCTAGTGACGTCTTAAGCGACGACGGCGATCAGATTGATGTGTCGTTTGCCGCCGAAGCTCGCTTACTGAAGAGGACGAATGCGTCGGTCCCGAACACGCCGTGATCAAGAACGAAATCTCAAACAGGATATGAACAAGTAATTCAGCCAAAGAGTGCCCAAAGACGAAGTCTGGAGTTTTGCGTGAAGTGAAACACGCAAGTAAATTATTTCTTTCTCCTTGCAGAAATGAACTGCTCCTTGGACTTCGCTAACTGAACCAAACGTCACTAGAAACAAAAGTTTAATTAAAAAAAAAAAACGAAACAGTTATGAAACAGATAGGATACGACAGCGTTGCTGTAGTAAAAGTAACCAACAGAAAAAAAAAAGACAAAGAACCAGTTAGATCGAAATCAGTGACGGTCACTTTGCTTAATGCCCTGCAACGGTTGAAACTAGCAAATAACTTTGGAACGACAACGGGTAGAAACTACTAGAAGCTAGTCAGAGGGCAATCCAGACTGGACGCGTCGCAATGCTAACACATCGTTGCGGCCGGGCGCGCTTATAGCGAAGCTTTTTATCGGCGCCACAGTTAAGCAGGAGGAAAAAACAAATGTTTCAATATAACGTGACTATAGAATTTATTTATCGTTACACATTGTCTGTTCCGTCACGAGTGCGCGACTGTCCTTAGCCGCCCCTACCGCTGCTGTGACCAAGGTCGCTGGCGTAGTCCACAACGTGGGGGTGGATTTTGGCCGCCTAACAGCTTGTTACTAATGCTGCTGTCGTTTCAATAAGAGAAAGTCGAGCTGCTCATAATAACATTAAGCGTATGCACATATATATATATGGATATATGTGTGTGTGTGTTTGTGTTGCAAATGTGTGCTAGTGGCAACGGTATAACGATGTTGGCCAAATTGTCATCGGAGCGATCAATGTGTGACAACTATAATCGGATAAACTGTACGCGGTGACGGAATACGGGGTCCATCGCAGCTCCGGTTGGTAAGTGATGACCACTAGCAGCCTAGGTGTTAAGGGAATGATGTATAGTTGAGTAGAAAGAGTTGCCACGTTCTTTGCTTTGCTTTTCTGGTTAGAATTTGAGAAGGTGTAGCTTCCCAGTTGCTGGAACGATAGCTAATCAAGAAACAGTGGAAAAAAGGAATGCCATTATGTATATGTCCGTATTGGTGTGCCCGTATTAGAAGAACATTTAACACCGCTAGTTAGTGCTTGTCAACTTCCTGCCCAGTTTCTATCGACTTAATGATCTAGAAAAGTGCGACTGACATGAAACTAAACCTTTGGTAACTTAGTAGTCGTTTAGCCCCTTCATGGCGTCTATCCTGTCGCAGTAGAACGTTAACGCAAGAAAGATAATTATTCGGATGTTTAGACACAACCAGATAACAAAAATAGGCCCATTTCAACCAAGCACTAACTGGCCACCATTCGTGCTATGATCAATAGTCTGACAAAACGCAAGTCTAGCATAACCTGTCGATCTGTCCACCTCTAATAAGCCTCGTATCTACTATAGATAACGATAGCCCATGGTTTAGGATGAGCTATTAGCCTAAAAGCTCTAGTCATTTACATTCAGACATAGTCACATTGTGTACACTGTTTAATAATACCACACGCAGGCCCTCGTTTCCGAAGTGCACGTTCTTTGAACGCGCTCGGGCCTACGAGTCAGTATTTTTTTGCTTTCATTGATAAAATCTGCATGGGAAAGACTTCTTCTTGTTCGCGGATCAACAAAGCATTAGTGCACTAGGTATCTTCAGGGCGGCGTCTGTTCGAGTTTGTCCATTGTTTGCAAAAACTCTGTTGAAAAAGATGCGATGCGATGCGCTGACGTATTGGCTGGCTGCCATTATGCCATTATGTATAGTCCGTATTGGTGTGCCCGTATTAGAAGAACATTTCTAGCTGATCCGATATAGGCGAACAAATGTTGCTACTTTCGAAATCCAAAATGCTAATAGATTACTAATGCGATTGCTACGACATTTTCAGTGATGCACTGTGAGGGCCGATTGTCACGATGCAGACGCCAGATCAACACAGCGCCAAATCAAATCCTCCCTGTTGTCGTAACAATTCCCTCTTCGAGATGGCTAGTAAATGGAGATTATAGTTTTTTGGTTGTCTGTGCCTTTGTAGATGCTGCACGTAAGTACGGCTGCAGTGTGAGTAGGTTCCGTGCCCTACTAACCTCAAAAATGATAATGGCGCTAATGAACCGCGAATCAACAGATCCTTACTATGATTACCGTTAACAACATTATTTAACCTGCTCGTTTCCATCGGCCTCGCGTCTTTCACGAGAAATCCCTCATTTTCCTGCGTGGATATAGACGCGCGTTACCCCACAACAATGCACCCTGCTTGCTATGTGACTACACGAACTATCTGTTGCGTATAGGCTGGTGAATGCTGGCTTATGACGTCGTAGGCCCAGTTCCCAATGCTAAGCATGCTATCCTTCTGGACCTCTAACTATCGTTGCTGCTCATGAATACGAGAAAAATTCGTCCCAGGAACAAGAAGAAAAAACTAGTAGACACGCATTAAAAGGGAACGTCATCCACGTAGAAAAAATTTTAAAAAATCCACTTCAGGCGAATAGGCCGGCGGTGTTGTGAATAATAAGGCATCAAAATCATATCAGCCAGCTCGACAAGGACTTCCATAACACTGGCTGATAGAAATGCGTCCAACGATGATAAAGGCAACAGGCGTAGGTACCGTCTTAGCGAAGGTTTTAAGTAGTCCAGGACGCCGACGTTGAAAACAATGAGGGGTCCATCCTTTCGACCTTATTCCTGAACGACAATTCATTATTACATTGAGCCCTCTGGAACTTGGTGCAACGTGGTGCGCACTACAAGAGTAAACGAGATTGTTTATTGGCGAATGGCACGAGTAGCGGGAATTCAATATTACTCGGCATTTATGATTCTTCTCTGATAGCTACTGGTTCCCATCGTGTTACGATATTGTAACGTTGCCTTGTAACTGTATTGGAATAGCGTTTCAAAATTATTATAGAATGCAAATATTCTATAATATATATGGTGATATAAGCCTTTATGGTGATGCACATTGCAGACCTTTCGGTAGAACGCACTAAGTGGCCTTTATGCTATTATTTTAACCCCTATACTTCATAAGCATTGCACAAAGCGTGTCTTTATAAAATCATTAAATAGATTTACTAAAGAACATGTTAAGCGAACAAAGCGACGGTAACGGCAGTCCTCCTTTAACAGGCTCTCTTTAGGTTCAAGTTGTTTACCATCCTACGTGCACAAAATTCTAGTTATCAACAGGCCTAAATTCCTTCGTGTCGCGCTCGGCCTTAGTGTACAGACGTTGCGTAGCTGGGTCCGGTAAATTTTGCTGTCATCATTGGCACTAGTCCCCCCACTAGTAATTCGGTATCCCGATTCGCCTTATTGGATCTGGCGGCGAAAACAGGACGTTAGTTAAGGGACTGCATAGTACAATCGACTCATAATGTCAATCCGATAATGCATGCAGCCGTAATAATAATCGTCATACTCGTGTAAATAGTAATTATCATTATGAAGTCATTATCAAGCCGTTCGAAATCGCTGCACCGTTGTCGAGCCCTGTGGCGACTGGGACAGCGTTTCAACTGCAGCACAGAGCGTCCCGACTAGTCCAAGTGCCGCCATACGGATGATACTTGGATCGTTTGCGTTACGTGGATGAAGAATGTATAGCCAATGCAAAAGATGCGATGCAACAGCACGATACCAATGCGATGCACGCAGACACATACAAATGCAGTTAAGCACAGCGCGATCGAATGGGAGTAATCTAGACTTCAACACGTTGCTACAAGGAAAACAAAGGAAAAGTCGTTCTCCATGCTTGAATGCGGAGGCAAGAGGGGGTCCGCGCTGGCATCTAGCGTACGGGCATGATACGCTGGTAGTAGTGTACGACGAACTTGCGTAATGCGATGCTCCGTGGGGGAACGTGCGCAACTCTTAGGATAACATCACATTTTGAATGTGTGATGCCAGTTTATGACTAAAGCAATAATAAAATAGCCTGCTTGATTTGGCAACATTTATTGTTATCTCTTAAACCTGTCTTGGTTGTCCTAAATTAACTTTCTCCTTTTAACTGTAATATAATAACAGTTTGCAATAATTAATGTTTTGTCGAAGTGCAATGCAGTAACGACGCACGGCGAGCACGAACGACCACTAAGGCCGTTTAAAGAAATGGTTGAGTTTTGGCTGGACTGGAAGATTGAGCTAAGCGAGAAATTGTACCGCTTATGCTTATCAGTGAACCGTGTATTGACGATACTAAAACTCGACATGTAAAAAAATAAACGGTTACTGATACCATGCCATTGAGCAATATCATTTACTATTGTAAACTAGCCTGACCAATCTATAATAGTCATTAAACACAATTCCCCTTTCGACTCTTCTTTCGGGAGGCAACGGTACCTTGATGAAACGCTACGCGGTGAGCGATTTTTTTTGCTTGTTTCTCTATCTAAATGCAAAACGTATCAGAAAGATAGCTTCGCTGAACCTGTACTTGTCACCTTCATGTACGCACATTTTTCGTCTTTTTACAGCGGCAACCAGCTCTTTTATTGTGCTTGTTCAGCGCTGTTGATTCTTCCTTCTAAACTGAGAAAGTGAGGTCCCGGTGACGGAATGAAATGCTATCATGATGTGTGGACCCCCCAAGGAAAACCAACGTAGCCGACACACTCTTTGAGCGGCCACTTGGGCCAGCTCGTACGTTATCAATGGAAACCGCGGTGTCTGCCTGGGACGGCCAAGACTTTTTGCGACCTGCTTGCCATTCTCTTGTCTGCACGGTACTCTTGTCTCTCGGCGTTTTCTCTTTTCGCGTTCTTCGTGCTCGCAGGTCTGAATAGGGTGCGAGACATGAAGACCATGAAGTCTCATTGCGTCTGGAACATCGCCCGTCTCCTCGTTCGTGTGCCAGCGTGAGGTACAAACAGTGATGCGTTCAACGGGAACTTGCTGTAAAAATCTTGCTATCCCACCAGAGAGGTTTAAGTAGCATTAGAGAGCCATTATCACCACTGGCAAGTAGAGTATAAATGAAGACAGCGAAGTGCTAGGTGGACGACGCGGAGGAACACCAAGGGGCTTGTAGCTACTTGCCCCGACTCGCATTGTCCAAATTGGCCGTTGGCGCATTCCTCATCTAGGATAAAATGTAGCACACACAAGCCGATGATGTATTTCCGATCCAGATTTGATTCCGAACTCGAATTAGAACTCGTGATGAAGGTACGGCACAAGCTAGAAATAAGAATGATGATCGGCTATTGCCACTCGACGTGGTCGGTTGTCCTCTCGCGTTGTGTCGAAGCGCAGCCTAAAAGGACTCGAGACGTATATGGATTGAAACATTAAAAGAGACCGGAATAGTGTTACGCAAAATGCTGCAGGCAGCATCGCTATCGATGCTGCTAAGGAGTAAACCGATGATTGAATAGACTCACTCTCATCTCGAATTGATGCAGGAACAGTTAGATCTGAAATGCAGAAAAGCACAGACCTGTACAATTTCAGGATTGCGATAATGTCTTTATGAATAAAGCAAGTCCTTCAATTATAATGAGATAAATACGTTGGTATTGTACTAACAGCACTGAGACTACTTCGAAGATCAGTAGGACCCAGTTGCCATTAGCAATCTTTGCGTTGCTTTAAGGATTCAACCACTCACCTTACAAAATAGCTCGTACCCTAAAGTTTGAATGATCGAAACCTAACGGAATGTGTGTTGTAATTTCTTTGTTTCGGATTAGTTAATCTTAATCTCTATTTGGTCCAATCTTATATGCTTTACCAGGTCCATATCGCTGGCGATATACAATGTAGACACGTCGTAGGCAGTCCCATACATTTATTAGCTCACACTTACGAATGTAAGCCCATCTCCTCCGTTGCCTATAATAATTGTGACGGTTTTCCGTATAATTCCAGCTATCTCGCCTCGCTGCGTAGTACGTAACGCTTAGTGCCGTTAGGAGCGGTACGAAGCCACGATGACAGTTACGACTGGAGCAGCGTTTGGGCCTTCTAGTTCCCGATTGTTGCCCCCTAGTCTATCCTTTTCTCAGGCTCTTCTTATCCCTCTTGCTCTGTCTATGTTGACTACTTGATCTGCTAAGTAGATAGGAACTGGCACCGCCGATCTAGCGTTAAAGTCCAATTTCTGCCCAAATGCTTTTTTATGTGCTCGTCAACGCGTGAAGTGACAGCCGGATAAGTTACGTCCATGGAGTGGTGTAGAACAAAGAACCCTTGGGTGTGCAATAAAGGGAAGGAAATGCAATTTTTAATGAAATCGTTGTAATAAAGGCCTAGAGGTCGTATACTAGTATAGTTCTATAAAAAGCTGGAACAGATTCAAATGTTAAAGTTATGTAATATATGTATTACATACGATATATGCTTTCAAGTATATATACATATACAGCTACCGGAAAATAGTGTTGTTCTGTAATTTTGGTAACCGTTCCTTTGATTCGGAAACGTCGAGTTCGAACGTAAAGCGCTGGTGTGGCCACGGTCTAGACCGCTTTAGGCCCAATATCTATGTGACTTTTATGCACAGGATAAAAATGCACGGGCTAGAAAAAAAAAAACTGATTGGCCGCTAGATTTATTAGATAGACCTGTCGATTTCCTACTGGGTATGTGGTTATTTAGAACTTAATTTTACGTTTTGTCACGTTTGAAGGAAGACTGGAAATCCAATGAACCTGATGAATATCAGGCTCATTGGATTTCCGGTCTACTTGTGTACTATGAAACATGCTAATTTGTTCCATTGCGAATCGCTCCATATTGTTTATTAAAGCCTCTCTTACTTTTAATTTTAATGAAACACTAAACACTTTCCTAGAAGAACCTAATGGACATCCTTCGTCACAGTTTATACACATCTTCGCGCATGAACCGCACTGACTGTACACCCTAAAATTCGAAAATTGCGCGTCGAAAACTTTCCACAGGCCTATAGATGCCCGTTAAAGTATGTTGAACTCTAAACAGATAGAGCACTGATCAGTAAAGCAGTTTCTATATGCAGCTAGAAATCGACTAAGCGTGATTAGAAACGAAGCCGTTTTTTGTAAACGCGATAAAGTACACTCGCAGTACGAACCCATCATTTGTAAAGGTCAAAATCAGATCGGAGACGGCAAACGCGTGCCGTTGACGACGCACCTGATGACGCATCGGATCAGCGAATATCTGCGCCGACATTTTGCATAACGGAATCATTATCAGATGAGTACTGGTAAGGTTAGTTAGTGAGTGTTATTGTACAACCTCTGCTAGAAGCGAAGGTTTGTATTATAAGATCGTAGTATGAATCCGCTTACTTGAGTTCATTTCTAGTTGATAGCGGTTGAAGTTGTGACCTCTTTCGTTAAAGGCTATTTTCCCTTTATATTGCGGGCAATACAGGTCATAGGTGCCATTTACTGTGAACATACGCGGATCCAATAAAACCTAATGTTAGATCCTTGTTTTTTTTTACTGCAGATTTTACAATCATGAAAATTATTCAACAGTCTTTTGCTTCAATATATACGGGTATAATCTGCCGTCAACAGGAAGAATATTAAACCACTCTGATTCACGAGTTGAGTATATTTTTACTATTATAAACAGTCGAATGCAGAAGTTTATTTACATCGTGGTCTTTTTTTTATCTGAGAACAGGCACTTCTTATTGTCCAGTATTCCTGCATCTAGCGACAAACTGTACAAACCAAGCGCGAAGTGCTGGCGTTTTTTCTATTGATTTGAACGAGTCAGACTCTCGTTTCGTTTGCGAAAGGATGTCTTGGCTGGTGGTACGACCTGAAAAAGTCATGTAAGGTCACAGCGTATCCGTTGTGTTTGTACGATGTACAATACAGCCTTTGGTAATTCTCCAGCTTGATCCTCACAGTCGTTCCCTGACAGGAACGCGTCACCGCTAGCATGTTCCCGGAGCCTGCGCTGTTGGTTACATTTTTTTACTTCAGACTCACGTTTTCAGCTTTGTTCTCGCCAGGCAATGGCCGGGAGGCGATCGCTATTACCCTGTCATGTGCACACATCCCCACGTTAGTTGCCAGGGGCAGGTACCATGGAAAAAAACTTCAGGTTGGCTCCCCCTTCAGTCACAATGGTCCCTGCTCAGCACACGGTTAGGAAAGAAGACAGGTCCTATTTATTTCAACAGTGCCTATTCAAGACCACGCTAGTGTTCCAATGAACGACGAAGTTTAACGTTGTTCCAAATCGTCACAGCAGAATACGCGTGCACAAACGCACTAAACCGTTATTGAAAAGGACGACTGGTTATGCGCGGCAGAGGCCAAACGGTTAAATCTGTAAACCATCTCCCTTATCAGAACCGTTTGTAGGGGGCTCGGTTAAGTTCCATGATGGCGACGGGTTCAGTTCCGTATGCGCTTCTAACGCAAACTTCCTTTATGCCTAATCGGTCAAGGACTGTACCACGACGTCGTTTAACGGTCCTGACTTTGCCTGTTATTCGACATTCTGTACGCATGGCAAACGCGGAACAAGCATAATCGCCTCTACTAGGGGACAGATCAGGCGACTGCAGAAAGCTACTTGGCATGACAGGCCAACGAGTGAAGATAGTTGGCACTATTGCCGTGTTCGCCGTCGCCAGCAGTATTAGGACAAATGCGAACGAGAAATATATATATATATATATATATATATAGAACGTAAAGGGACCTGACATCGCCTGAAGTGGACTCTGCGGTCTCGTCATATTTTAGCGTTAACGGCGCCAGAACAAGTAGCAATGACTGTAGCAAATGATAAGTTTTGTTTACTATCATTTTGCCCATGCGAATAAAAACAGCCTTCTGGCGTCAGTAGCAAACACGATTCTGATAGCGTTGTGACGGTACCGACGTTGGCATTTGCAGTAGTTAGCAGTGGTAAGCCGAGGTGTTGGAGGATTTACATTGCCATGTCGGCCGGTTGGTTCAGCCGATCCGAGCCAGCAGGACTCAAACCCATCATCATAGGCTCCTGTTCATGTGAACCTGATTCTAGCTCAATTAGCGGATTCGAATTGAAAAACCTGAACAGTTAGACGGACGACAGGACGACGGGAATTGTACGCAAGATTGAACGCCGCAAGGCGGCCTAGAGGCGCGCTTATATAGTTGAATACAGTTGCCCATATATCAGTCGTATACGTAGGAGGAACACGTGCAATAAACTGGTGTATAGATAGATAATTCAGATAGCTATGCGACCATTTTATTATATCTATACAAGGTCTAGCCTCAAGGTCAGGGAATGTTATAATCTCAATAGAATTCCAGGTATTCGCAGCCAGCAAACAAAAGCTTTACCTTGCACCTACTACAAAAACGAATCAGACTCGATATTTCTTTTGAGCTAAAAGGAGTAAATTTGAGATACGGAAAGTGAAGACGAACTTGAATGAACTGGTTTTGAGGGCAACTCTTTACAGATAGTTATTAATCCTAAGTTCTCAAATGGAGTGAGCGCTATGCGAGTAACTTTCCTTGCTATGTTGTATTAAGGCTGAATCTGAACGTGATTTTGCCTCGCTTGTGGTGAGTGTGTGTTCAGGTAATCAGCTCCGATTGAATGTATGGGCATTAGGAAAAACCAAATACGCGAATCGGTAGTAGCGACTATTGAAGCTTTCGCTATGCGAGTTATAGAAATGCTCTCGAACAAATGCGTGCGTGTTCACTTCCAAAACTCTGGGTTCGACTGACTCTGATTTCGCCAATGTCTGACGCGGTTACGTTGGCGGATCAACGTTCGGTATTCGACTCGAGGTCGGATACGTTGTTTCGTCAAGCCATTAAGTGAATATATCAATAATCCAATAATTTTAATCTAGTGCGAGCCTAATAAAAACCTAAAAATATCTTTCGATACTATTCCGGAAGTCGTAAGAGGCGCACACTTAATCTCACAGCTGTGCAGCTTCCATATGCGTGCCTGCATTGGCATTATTAGCTCACGGTAGTATTTTTCCTGTCATAGGAAGCATCCCTTGATTTTAAGCCAGGCTTTTTACGTACAGCCACCTGGAATACCTAATTGGTTGGCATAATCGAAAAGTGTCGTCATAAACGTCGTACACAGAACTACTGCTTTATGGTTGAATAGATAAAAAGTAGTCCCAGACGTGGTCCAGTGTTCCCGTTCGGCCTTTAAAGAGTGCGTATTTCCCAGAAACCTACATTTTTGTTCGAAGAACTCAGCTATTAACATGTTCAATACGAAGCTCAGTTTTAACCCTCACAGTCAATAACTAAAGTATGATGAGGTAATTAAAATGAAGGTTATAATTAAAGTGAATCGATCGATCGATCGATCGATCGATCGCGGCATCGTGAAGAGATCCGAGGTCTAAAATTTAAATGGGCGATGCCATGTTAAAAATCATTAATTAGAGGAAAAAGCAGAGATTTAAAAAATAGAAACGTTGTGTGGACACATAGAAGCGACTACGGGCGATGCCATGTTAAAAATCATTAATTAGAGGAAAAAGCAGAGATTTAAAAAATAGAAACGTTGTGTGGACACATAGAAGCGACTACGGGCGAGCAAATCATTTATAACCAACCATTCGATGGCTTATCCGTCTTTTATTAAATCCAAAGAGCTCGAAAATGTTACGAACCTAATTCTCTCTAGCCAAATTAAAAAACGGCTTTTAGTTAATACTGCCGATCCATACGTTGTTGGAGACCAGAATTTGAGCGTATTTCCCAGGCGCCAGTTTCGCAAATACTTGCTTGTCATACCCCTGAGAGACAGACGAAAATCATTTAAATTAAAAACATTATTATTATTATAAAAAAACTGCATTAAAAACATTTTTACCGCATATATATATTTGCTACGCAACCTGCGGCGGGTCCGCTTATGACAATTAATTATCTCCGTTTAAATGATCGAGGGAAAAGTCATTGCCTATTTACTGCCTTACTTACAGCCAATACTTTTACCTATCTTCTCACGTTCCATGACCAATGATCTAACTAAAGTACCCCTGCAAACTAAAAAACGATTGATCAGCTAGTTTAGCTCCTATACTGTATCAGCACCTCTACTGATACAAAAAATCGAGAACTGTGTCGCAGATTTAGACGCATATACACACGCAATCGAATTTCATTACGTCGACCATTACAAATTGCTGTCACCTTGTCCTACAAGATTGCCACAATAACGAATCAGTTTAATTGAACTTGAAAACCAGCAACATCTTGCCCAGTGTTGTCCACTGTCACATATGACAAATAGCCCGACCCAGCTATCGGTCCTTCTCTACCCCCGTTGTATTTGTGTCGCTGCTGCATCTGCCAGCTTTCGTTGTCGTTTTGGCGTATTAGATTTGTTGACGAAATTCATCTATCCAACAATCGGCGTACTGCTTCCTAAAATTTACCCGCGTTCTGGCAAGTGTGGCTGTCCATTACGCCATTTCTGCAATACGTCTATGGATGAATCTAAAAAGTCTGCGCGAACGTGCACGCTCTAGAGACAAGAAGAGAGCGAGCAGAAGAAAACGTACGCAACATCAGTAACGTAATGAGTAAAGATGTTACCTGTTTTTGAGCGTCGTTGTTATTCACCACTACACGCATCAGCTCCACGACCGACCTCCTAGCAATGGCCGGTGCCAGGATTGGACAACCGAGCGAATAATCGATCTAAACTGAATTTCGTTTTCGTTGAGGACCTGCCGCCTTCATGAGCTACTGATACATCGAGGCAATAGCGCAACGGGAGATCAGAGTAACCCAATAAGAAAGCGATTCTATGCTGCTAGTGTTGTTGTTTTGCCGTTTTTCCCGTGCCGTGCTTCTCGAAATACGGGGAAGCAACCTGATCCAGGTCCAGACTAGCCCATAGTCTCATTAAACAGTTACGCGGCATAGTTACGGCTTGACGTTTGTGCTGTCCTAATTCACCGATCCGTTAGCCGTTGTTGCTGCAGGACGTCAGTACGACGAGGAAGGAATAGCTAAAACGAAATCGCTTACACAAAGACCTAACCGAGCGTTTTTGCAAGTCTGATAGTTACACATACTTGACGCTGCAGCAACCTGTCCTATCGTAAACTGCACAATCGTGACAAATGTCAATCAAGCGCGTTTAGAGTAAAGCCCATGGCTCGTTAGCCCGCCTCTGCAGTTGACATAGGCCCAGAGTTACTGATAATAGCAGTTGCAGTAACAATAGTGCGGATCGACTTGCAGATTCCAGTCAGTAGCATTTTCTTTACCATCTGTTTTGAAAGTTATAGCAGCATCGATCATATTTTTCCTAGTACAAATCTAACACGAAAGGAGGTAAAGAGACGTATGGATAACTTAGCCCCAAAAAAGCAATGATCACTTGAGAAGAGCTGAGTTGGTTAAATCGGGATGTTACTACAAAAACGAAATCGTACAAATAAACTCGAAAGATGTATCCATAAAATTCGCGCATGCATCAGTATTTGTACTGCAGTTGTTAGCTGCGCGAATGTATGTAGAAGGATTCTAGTGGTTCCTGTTTAGCTGCATGCGGCATGAGAACGATGCCTACTCATCGAGGGCTATGCACGATACGTAAGCAGGACTAATTCCTAGCAAAAGCAAACTGAAGTGAGCAAAACAGAAGAGAATCCTCCTGCTATTGGTCTACTAATCCGAGCTGCATGTGCAAGCGTATAGTTGACTGTAGAATTTCTAAAAGGTAAGCAGACTGGGCGTGACGGTCGCCGTAGAAGTATCTGATATACAGACACGCGGCCCCTTCGTATAATTTGTTGCTGGCCATGGGGACCACATAGGCTATTTTCGTAGCTACCGACAGAATAATAACGACAGGAAGCTTTTGCTGCCGTGACCCGTGATCCGATAAACCTGGCGGTTTTTGACGCACTGTTAACAGCGACGATTGTAGTTACCATGGCTGAGACTGATGTTCGTTGACCGACCTTCACCGTGCTCACCTGCTCGCTCATTGCGTCGTTGGCTTTGAGGTGCATGAACGATAACGGATGATCTACGAATGCTCCACGCTCTATCGGCTTTAACGGCGCGTTTCCTTATCTAACCGACGCTGCAGGTGTTAGCTAGAGAAGGAAAAAGTGACAAGCAGTTGGCTGAATCCTTTCATTATGACGCTGTTAGCTTAATACCCGCTCAAGCGCTTCGTCTCTTCACTCAGCTAAAATTGTAAGCACGCTCAATAGTCCACATGGCAGGACCAGATAACGCAAGCAAATGAATTGCTGTTTGGATCGAAGTAAAAAGTGCGTCACTGGAAAGGGTCGGAACGCTGCGCTTCTACTAGAGGTTCAACTGATGGTTTAACATCGATTATGTACAAACCGATCTTTATTCCCTCTATATACCCCCCCCATCACTGTTTGGTAGTTCTAGTACGTCCCGATGGGGACAAAACGAAAACAACACCAAAGTCGGTCTGGGGTGTTGGTGAGAAGATAAACACGTTTTAGTTAAAAAGCAGTGGGGCACTATTGCTATTACGAGATACTTCTATGAACCACCCCCCGCTTCTGCTTGGACGAAGTCTGAATGTTATTGCTTCTACTCATTATGCCATCGCTATCGTAGTTGTTGCTGACATTTTACCTACTAGGTACTTAAGGAGAAAATTTTAGAGCGACTGCTCTTGTTATGATGCAATTGAGTACATTTTTGCAGTTTGCTGATAACAAGTCCATAAACAAAATCAGTTAAATAGATTAATATAATCCCGCATTTTGACTGTGTATCGCTAGACAACTCGAAATATTTAGGCGATTTTTTTTGCCAGAAACACCTACATTTGTAGAAAACAATAGGTATTCCGATACTTTTTTGAAAAAAAATATCTATAATACTATCTATTTTATTATTACAAACATCGCGCCGTTTGGATTGCCTCTCATAATTACAAACACATTATCGTATTATAATTATTACAGATGACTTATTCAACATCTCGGTGCGCATACGACCGACCCGATAGTATCGCCTATGCCTTCTCATTAAACTTTGTCTGTACTTCCTGCACCGGAGCCTCGTTTCGGTCCCTCTAAACTTCCTCTAAGATGATAGCTTCCCCGTGCAAGAACTCTTGTCATATTATGATCATGTTTTTACCACCCTGCCACGAAATAACGAGTTATAGTTATCTCTGAAATATTCATTAGAGCTCCAGATGAGATCAATGAGTGCAGACAGCTGGGTTTGGGCAATGGTTGGATACTCGTTTGACGACACTTGCCCTTGCCCCTGCAACAATTCTCGTAAGTAAAGAAGTCAAAAAAGTACGAACCATGCCCCCACCAACGGCCGCATGTTATCATATTGAGGTATTACGACGCATAGGTTAAGTTGTTTCTTGAACATTTCCGGTGGCTATTGAAGCACCGAGGGATTAGGCAACTGCTAAGTGGATCGTGAGACATAGTGGTGGCAGTGGTTTCACGTTGTCTTGTTGGATTGTCGAAACGTGGTCAACTACTTTCGTGTTGAAAGAAATGAAATGTGTTGTGTTTACGTCCGTACAGGAGAGATGAATAGCAAGGGGTTGGCAGGAGACATGGTGCAGGGTTCCCGCAGAGGTTCGCCAACACTGCGTATTACTGTATGCTGCATGCGTCTCTAGAAACGCTTACGCAAGGCTTTAATATAGTTATCTCTTTTCCAATACCTCTAATGTATTCAATACAGAATCAGCAGAAGGATTTGAAAGTAAATAGCACAGATTTGGGTTCGTCTTGTGTAATACGCAGCAGCAGCAGCAGCTTCTATTCTAGCGTATAGCGTAAACGAATTGAGGCCGGTCACATACCGCGCACATTCTGGGAAGCCAGTAAATAAAAGGCGCCTTTTGTATATATAAATAAAATAGCGAGTGTGATTAATAAACGCTTAGGGCAAGCTGTAATGTAGATAACATTATCTTTACTAGTGGCCTAATAGATACATTAAGGCAATAAATCCTTCCGCATTCCTCAACGGGTGGCTGCATCTCAGGGGCAGCTTGATGAGCTTCACTACGCGTCTGCGAAACAAGCTTGAAAAACGCTTGTGATAATCACGCCGATCCTGTAGCGGCCTATGCATTTTTTTAGCGGATCCTATTAAAGTAAAAAAAAAAAAAACAAATTATTATATATATATATACACATACCTTTCGTATTGTACGAAATTCCTCTAGGCGCAGAAATTCCCCATACGCTATACGGCACCTTGATGACTGTGAATACGAAGATGGGAAAAAATCATTTGCGCGTATGTAGGATTCTTGACAACGAATCGATACGCCTTTCGAGGAGTGTCAATAAAAGTGTAACCTAGATCAAATTCATCGCATTCATTGAGGTGTTCATGTATTACAAATTTATCCAATGCGGACGTATGAGCTCGAGAAGTTGGCATGTGGAAAAGTCTGGATTTCTCGCTCACGTAGTATCTTACGTTTGCCATATGGGTTAACTAATACATCCTTTCACCGAAGTGTGAAGGATCTAAGGATAGCGTCCATTGTGGGTCAACGAGCTAATGTCGACTGTGCAAAGGCGAAACCTCAAAACAAAGAGGATGATCGTCTACAAAGCCCATTGATAACAGGTGCTCTTGTTTGGCTTATTTGGCTTTTGATTGTGTCAACTTCATTACGAGTGCGAATTTGTGTTGTGGGTAGTTCAAGTGTTTAGCAGTGAACCTTCACGTTTGCTTCAGGGGCAGAATGACTAGTTTACGTTCATGTAGATGCCATGTAATATCGTTTAGGTCCATGCTAAGCTATGCTATAAGGAGCCTGCGTAAAATCATTTTTAACAATTGACTTCGCGTGTAAATGTCTGATAGGCTTTTACTTAGATCTCCGCCTCATCAGTACCCCATCGAAGCTCGCCGGCCAATAGAACTTGCAACGACAAACTGGCCAGGCGTTTTCGGCACTCGTCAATTCGTCATGATCATAGAAATCATGCAACTGCATAGTGTCACCAGCCATACTTGTATGTATATACAATATTGGGTTATTGAAATTTTATTACTCGTCATTTCAGCTGGCTAACTTTAAAATGACTGACCTTACATAAGATAAGGTGGACCGATGTCGCTTGAAAGCTAAGATTCAGCTGTCATAGTCGAAATCTTAAACTGCTGAGATACCATTATTCAAACCCGAGATAAAGGGTCCGAACAGAGAATGAGTGAAATTTATACAGAAAATTGATTTTTTTTTCAGCCTTATGACGACAAAGGTACAAATGCTTTTTAAGTACATGACAAATCTGAGTTGTTCATGGTCGAGGCGCATCATCGAAAGAAACGATTCAAAGATGCTTCAGCCATATTCGTTTTAGAGATTTTGAGCTAAGAGATGCTTCTCGCGGTGCTGGGCCAATTACAAAAGGACTTAGTTAAATTATTGCGGAACAAAACCGGCACATGACATAGCTATAACATCGTCAAGGAACTACATATTGAAGAAAGCTGACTACCGTAAGACCTCGATATTGAAGCGACGAGATAACGAAACATTTCTTCGTCAAGAAATTAGAGAAAAACAATAGAATTAGTTAAAAGTGCCAAGGAAGTGTTTGGTAAAACTGGAATGAAATCGTGCATCATGAGTTACTGCTATCTGGCGCAATGGTCGAATTAAGGCCAATAGCTAATAACAGAATTACAGTGAGCCATTGAAAAAAATCGAAGGGTATTAGTGAACAACAAAGGCGTCGGCCTTCAGATTAGCTACCCAGCGAACCCTGAGACAACTAAGATCCGAAATTTTAAGGTATTTGCCCTATAGGCTAGATTTCGCGTTATCAGACTATCGTTCGCGTTGGCCTCTCCAAAATTCCCTTAGTCGTGGTAATCTAGTCTCAATGAAGAAATGCTAAAATCACTTGTTGCATCACAGAAGTTTTCACAGCAATGCTGTCATCAGAAAGATCAAAAAAATGGCGGAAGGTCATCGATTAAAATAGCGCATATTTAATTAGATAGCGACAATGTTATCTAGAAGAAATAAATCTTTAATTTTAGCTCGTAAATGGTAAACGTTTTTAGGCCACTTTACATATGTATGTGATCTTTGTGACGTACAGCCTTTGTAATTCTTAAAAAAACAGCTTTATTTTGGTAGGCTATGTCGCATCTAGTCGATCCTGTTTTTAGTCAGAGAAGGTAGTCGGTGGGTAAGATACGGACATTTTTTTGATGTCACTACCAATAAACTAATGAATGCTAACTACGTGGGATGTTCCAAGCATGGGTTACAAAGAGGTTGGGTCGGCTTTTAGTTAAATAGGTTTTAGTTACTTGCGTACAAGAAGTCATTAAGTCTGCCCTATCCAAATTATGATTTTGAGCACGTACACAAAATAACACGTACAACAAGGTATTATGCCTTTATGCTACTCTGTGTTGGGCATTTAGTAAACGAACGGAGACGACGATCTACAGCACCCTAAATCTTCAATAAAACCCCAAGGAATGTAACGCAACGGTGCCATACTGTTAAGCCAGCCTGCTGGACGGTGTCGTGTTTTGTTCCACCCAGTTGTTAGATTCATCATGCATACTTATTCCACGTGCCGCATCAAACAAATGTCTGTTACCACGTTGATTAGTGACACAAACTAGACAAATACGGCTTAAATATGAGACTATCCGACGTTTATGCACGTATGACCAGCTTGTTTCATGTATGAAAAAATGCTATAGCTGCTGTTGTGGCCCATGTAATTATCGCGTCGGTCTGGTTCGGCTTTATTGAGGACCGCAACAATCCCCCGGTGGCTAACAGCCAACCATACTCCTATCTATGTGCTAACTCTGCTCACAGTTTTCTCGTTCATATACTGATATCCGACTAGTATTTACCTGCAAAAAGCTATTTGGCCTGCTGGAATTCCATGCGTCAATGGAAACGTGCCTTCCTCATGTGTGGACGCCTGATCGATAAAGGAACCACCGAAGAAGACTTCGAGCGGCGGTTGCTCTTTCTCACTTAGTTTGACTCTAGCCTTGATGAGAGGAGAAAGTGGCCCTGGATAGTAGGACATAATACTGGTGCTTAATCTAGCTGGTACATTGGTCCAGAGATCCAATCCTAACTTGTTCGATACGGTGTTGGCATTAGGACAGAGCAGGAACCCCTTGAACCAATTTGACGTCGAGGAACTGCCGTAGCGTGAGGTGACTATAATAAGGCACTACTTAGGACTCTTGGTCGCCGTTTGCAAATTTTATGCTAACTGTATTCGATGTATTGTTTTGTTGGTGGTACCGTTCAAACACTCCTAATGCCACTTAGTAATTCACATTTAGGCATCGAGGGTTGTGAAGCAAAACGCTGATGGCTTGAAGGTCCATACATCAGTAAGGTAAACGAATGTCGTAGATGTTTGTTTCTAGGATTTCTAGTTATATGTATGTGAAATAATCCTCGGAATCACGTCTTAAAGTATAGCATTATGAGTCTTTCCCTAATAGGAGACTCACTGTAATGAGTCGACCTTACTAATGAGAAATTTATTTAAATCTATGAAACGGCATAGCAATCATACCAGTAGCTATTGACTTCAATAATAATGCTTTATTTCTCTTAATTTCTTATTCTCCTGCCTATTTTGTTATTGATGTTTGTAAACATTGAGATTTGAACCAGCGCGGCTGTATGCCGTGTGTATGTCTACCATAAACAAGCACTTGGAGAGCTACCGAAATCATGATCAAGGCCGTACGTGTACCTTAAGCGTTATGCAGTATGATAAGAAACAAGGAGAACAAGAAACTGTTTGACAAACAAGTAAAACGCATGGCAATGTGAACTTAATGATTAATAGAAATATTGGAGCTTTAACCATCTTCGCTACCGTTGTTCTTTGCAATTCACTGGTTTATAAAATGCCTGAGTGTCAAACTTGTAACTATTCTATAGCAAAATCTATAAAAGATTTATAAATGAAATTATTGAATTAATAAATGAAATATTATATTTAGAAACTATAGTCATGGCACACAAATTTGAAGAGTTTTTTAGTGGTCGAAGTTGTTTCTAATGTCAGTGTTCACGCATCTTTCGAAAAATTCGAGAAAAATTATTTGAGGCAAAGGAAAAAATTCTAAAAAAAAAACAGATTCAAAGAAGTAGACCAACATGGTACTTGACACAAAAGTTAGCGGCTGTTTTTTTAACTTGACACTTAACTTTAGACGATACCTGAGTTTTTGAATTTCAATTGAATAAATAACGAAATAATAATAATTCGATCAATAACGCTTAACGTAAGACTATTAACAAAAACATATTTGCGGGTCAGAGAAGGAATATCTTGACATTCACTGGTGAGATCATTCGAATACAGCCCGTCATCGACGTAAACGGATATTATATAGAACAAGTATGACCGTCAGGGCTTCAGCGTGTGCAAACGATTTTACTGAGACACCTGTTTCTAATAGATACGTTCTTAGAAAGAAATCAAAAGAAAAATTCCGATGTCAATCCACTTTAAGTTTAGCTATAGATGGGTCCCTTAATGAACAATAATCAAATGCGACCCATACGGTAATCACTTTGTTTAATAATGCAAATTGATTCCTTTCACCTACGGTGATCGAATTATGCAGAGTTTGTGTAGGGAGACAAGAATACGTAAACGTAATAAATGAAATATACAACAGGATGAACGCGGCCATTAAAAGTATACCATTGGTGATCTAATTTTTACCCCGCCCACGAATTTTAAACACCGATGAAACCCTATCCAGTACGTCGTTAGCAAATTGGTAATTTCTTGCAGGATCGGGGATATCGTCACTATTCTTGACTATTCGTTGATCTGTTCTGAGTAGTTCCGACAGCATCGCTATGACCATATAGTTAGTTAGCGACCAGCTGTCACCGTATCCTGTACTCGCGTAATCTCGCGGGAAACGTTTGCGCGTCGACACAAAAGTGGCCAACATCACAACTTGTTATTATATTTCTCTATGAACTTGCAACATAGTTCATTTCTTTTGACGCGGGTCGGCCACACAAATTCTGGGTGGTAGCTCACACAAAGAGCAACATTCAACAACGATCGATTAACAGAATGTTCGCTTAATATGTCCACCTTTGCCAGTAACGCGAAGGTGCCCGTTCGAAAATCTAGTTTTGAGCGCGAACCTAGCTATCCCTGTTTGATAGATGATTGTTTCGTTTGAATTTAGCGCGCCACAGGTCTGTCTGTGCGTGGGTGATATACTGATAAAAAAAGAAGCAAACGAGAAAAAAGAAAAGCTATTTCGAAGGTATTTGGAAAGAAACAGTTAGACATCGAATGTATCGCTTTGTTATAATATGTCGAGTGATTTTATAAGACGACGTTATCCTAGTTAATTTGCAAGCATATCCAGATGGAGCCTGGATAGCTTGCAGTATCCGACACGTCGCACGATGCGCTAGATACATAAACACATGTACCGGTCCTTGGCTCAGAAAACTAATTTTGAAGCTGTTGCTCGAAAGAATTTCATGCTTGTTAATAGAAAGTCTTGCTTACGGACGTTTTTTAATATTGTTTATTCTTCTATATTTATTATGTTGCCGTTAATGGACTCTCTTCTTAATGTGCTCGCCGCTTCCACCGATCGTCCCTGCATGTAGGATTCGAATCGGTTCGACCTATTGTAGATGTACTGTTTCGACCTACTGAAAAAACTCGTCAAATTGTGTCGGCTAGACCTTGCCGATTGTCACAAAAACACACGTGAACAAACAGGCTGCAAGCGGGCCTGCCGTCCACACGTTTCTGGACACCCAGCGAAGATAGGCCATTTTGAGAGGGACAAAGAGCCGATTCGATCTGACGCTTCCTTTGCCGAGACAATCGGAAGGATTCATATAGGAACAATCGGGGAGGAAATGGCCACAGTTGCAAAACACACTGAGCAACTTGGATTCTTTCTTTTACAGTCGAATACGAACACTGCCCCACGTTTGCTCAGGTACTTGGTAAATATAAATATACAACGCTACGTGGTTACAGGGCGACATCAGAAGACCGTGACTTACATGACCTCCCGACAGCTGAGAAAAAAGAGTTACTCGGCAGATCCAGTAGCAAAGCTGTTACTTCTTGCTTATAAAAAGTTCATATTGACATCGATGTCTACGAAACGTGTAGAGCTTTGAAAGAAGTTACCCTCTTTTTTATTTGGTATTCAATTAATACTGAAAGCGAAATGCTTACGTAATTTTTTCAAGTTGACACATTGACTTCGTATGTAATGTAACGATCACGCCAGATGATATTATTTCGGAACTTCTAACTAGCCTTATTGAAGAACTTGGTTAGAAAAACCAACTGGGCGCATCGAATTGATGGTACAAAAGTGCGGAACGATACGGCAGCTCAAGGTTTTCTAGGCAGGCCAGCGATAACTGCTAGACCATTCGCCAAAACTCTTTGTAGGCATAATCGAAGAGAAGTCAGAAATGTCATTAGCTCTCGAAACTTTTATAGATTTAATAGACTTATAATGAAATTACGCTACATAATGGCGCAGTTTCAAAGCATTCACCTTGCCTGCATTGCAAGACAAAAAAGGAATCTATGCACCTTGATTATACTCAGAACGACGTAAACAAATGCATTTTAAAGAAACCTACCTGGAACCTTCTTTCTATAGGTTCCGTCCATCCGGCCCGTGTCGAGAACGTAGGCAAAGGTGGCTTTTTTCCCTTTAGTTTTATCTAGCCTGCAGATGCACTGCTCGACAGGTTTATTATGTTAACGTACGACAACCATGATTACAATTAAAACAGACAAATACTATCAGCCAAATCATCGTACTGTACTCTCACGCGGGATTTTATTAGATTGAGTTTCATTACTCCCACTACGATTTATTTAATAAACTCATCCCCAACGGGCCTCAAGGCACCCACCGATGGCGGTCGAAAACGGGAAGAGATGACGGCGTTGTTGATTGTGGAGATAGCAGTTATTGCTATTGCAGTTACTGAAGCAGCCCAGTATAGAGGAGTTAGCGCAGATTCTATGAAGATTTCAAAAACACGCCAAATTCTCTTGATTCGACGGTGGTTCTCGAGGCGTTCTGTATCAGCCGGAAACCTGCTGCTTGTTTATTTCTCTGCCCATTGTCCCTCTCATTTTCTGTTTCCTCTGTCTAATGATCTGCCTTGTTCTGCTACTTTTTCCAATACACCCATAAAGCCAGCGTCGTTTATGTGCGGAGTTATTAGAGATACACACATGTGTTCGTACAAATATGCGGATTCAACGTGCTTATGGCGATGTGGCTATTATGTTAAGACAGTGCGTGGACGTTGGTTCGGTCAAGCTGGGGAGAGTAGGTGGGGAGTTTTACCAATCTATTTCCACTATTGCTGGCTCAGGGGCGAACGCGAAGAGTACGCAGTAGCGAGCATACAGGTGAGCTTTTGATATGGCTGACGCTGGTCGAAGCTGATCGCTTTGCTGACTGTGGGCAATGTTAGGTGTTCGTCGAGCACTGGACATACCGCTACCTGGTGCTTGGGTTCGTCGAACCTCCGGCTTTTATCTAGTCGTTCGTTGCTTTATCATCGGTTCATCATCCTCTACTATTCCCCCATTCGAGTTCAGTCACGCTTCTCGTACTCGTCAGTAGCGATAGAGCAAGCTTAGTAGGCTTGATAATTATTTGTTACCTGGTCTATGGCGTTTGTCCTTCGTGACTGCATCGACGGCTTTTGCTGTGCAGGCGGCGTCCGACGCCTGTGCGTGCCGCCTTTGGCTCAGAATAAACTAACACTGGGCTTCATGCCATACCCTTTTGCGGACTCACTCTTTGCACTGAAGAGCAGGTTCGTCCGGTATTGTGCCTCAAGCGCAAGGCATGTTTCGTTTAGAACAAGACCTTATTGGATTTGCTAACTCCTCCAGTCCATCGAGGCTCAAAGGTTTCGATGAACTGGAGGCGTCCTTCGTCCTGTTCCTTATCGCTTCGAGGATGAGAGCCATAGGTTTGGAAAAAGTGTCCATTCCAAGACATTTTTGTTGTTAGATCGGCTGTAGCAGCAGCGTTCGTGACGGACGCAGAAGCAGCGGCAGGAGCCGCGCCTTCCTGTTTCTCCTTTTCGAATTTCTTTTGGGTCTACGAACGAACGAACGGGTGTTTCTCATGAAAGTGTGTCCTATTTTGTCCTATGTATCGCCAAAGGTTTCCTGAGCAGCTGCGGCCCTGTCCTACATTCTCAGTTATACACAGTTCACCCGGAGGAACACAGCATCAGCAGTAACAGAGGCGAAGTGCGTTTGCCCGCAGGGGTAGCATCGAAAGGGACTGCGTC